TACAGCCTTCGTAAATGTTGCCATGGTGACAGCATTGCTGACAAAGCAGTGCCATTCGTGCTGGGATGATGGTGTTATCCACTTTGCTGTCCTATGAAATTCTCACTCAAATGTTTCTTATCAATACAAATAACGTTTCTCTGTGTTTTGCCGTACATGACTGAGTATGATTCAGGAACACTCTGCTGTCTCTTCATAAGGGAATTCATGGAGGATTCATGGAGATCTTTGGGTCCTGGGGAAGAGACAGTCAGCGCAGCTTCTTCTCCAGGTTCGAGACACTTACAGGGACTGAGAGCAGGAGTGATGGATGCAGTAGCAGATGTTGGAGCACCTGCTCACTCAGGCCTGAGACGGGGGGTCCAGAAGCACTTTTTAAACATGAAGCCGTAAGCTCAGGTCGGTATTTACCGCCGCCTCCCGTGGTGCTCCTATTCACCTCCTCATGGGTGGCGGAGAGAAGACCGAACGCATCCACCAGCGTCCGCGCACGCTCGCGCACACGTCCCTGGAGGCCTGTAATAACCTATTACCTCCATCTCCGACAAAAAAACCCACACATTTAAACGACAATTACACCCCCTGCCTCCCCTTCCACTGCTTTCCATCCCACTCCCCATGTAGCTGTCTCCTCTGCAATTCAATACTGCAAGCCCCATCACACCGCATGCTCTCTCTCACTCTCCTGTGCAGAAGCAGGAGTGATTGAGAAGAGTGTACCTTTTTATTCTGTGTAAGAAAATTGATCACCAAGCGAGTGCAATTGCTATTTTCGTGCAAAGCCAAACACACACATGCACACCAGCACATCCGTCCATACATATAAAACACACACGATTATGAAAAATATCAAATAGACTTTTCCAGTATTGTTGTAAATAAACGTTTCTCATGATTTTACTGCAGGGCTGCACATCGTTGCTTTCAAAAACCTTTTCTCTTCATTTTTGCCATTTTTTACTTCTTTCCATAGTTCGAAAAGTACAGTTACTCTTCGCATTGTGTTAACATTTCACGGTGGACCAATAGAAATGGTCCAAATGTTACTTCCATTATAAGTTAAGAACAATTTTTCCTTCTCCTGTCAAGTTAGCATTTTGGAGATACACGTTTTTGCATGATTTTTTGAGTAGGTAGCACCGGTACTAGAACAAAAGTTACAACTGTTGTACCCCAAATTAAAATACTGTAGCACTGGGATAAAAAACAACATGTTGACACAACTAAACACAAACTAAGCACAACTACAACTCCTCCCAGTTCAAACAAAACCCCCCCAATACAACCGAAACTCTTCCCAGTACAATCGAAACCCCACCCAGTACAAACAAAACTCCTCCCAGTACAACTAAAACTCTTCCCAGTACAACCAAAACTCCTCTCAGTACAACTGAAACCCCTCCCAGTACAACCAAAACTCCTCCCAGTACAACAGAAACCCCTCCCAGTACAACTAAAACTCCTCCCAGTACAACTGAAACCCCTCAAAGTACAACTAAAACTCCTCCCAGTACAACTGAAACAACTCCCAGTACAACTGAAACCCCTCACAGTACAACCCAAACCCCTCACAGTGCAACCCAAACCCCTCCCTATGCAGTACATCACTGGGCATGTGAACTGTATCTGCGAGGAAGATAATCATGAGGGTCCATATGGTTTGGGTCCGGACGACACAAAATGTTTAATAGCTATATGGACAGACACTACTGTACGAAACAGGAAGAGGCTGAACGGATACACAATTGGTAATTGGTGGCTGCATAACGAGCGGATTTGCATATTCCGTCCCAGACAGCAATCAGATTTCAATCCAACTAACCAGAGGCACATTTGACTACCGAGTATAAATGCATGTGGCTAAAATCTTATCAGGATACAATCCAGATACCAGTTACAAGAAGTGACCAGGTGTAAACGGGGCCTTTGAGACTCCTGGTTCCTACCATCCCCCGTGTAAAGAAATTTGAGTCGATAAGTTTCTCTATGATGCACCATTTCACATCAAACCACTCTGAATGACTTTGTTTTCAAAGATTGAATTATGTAGAAATTTTGGGTGGAATTCCTCTTTAAGCTCCTATTGAATAGTACAATTTTCAGTATGTGTGAAGCTGATTTGAACTCAGTGAGGAGACTATAGAATCCATAAACGGACGTGAGGCAGATTTTGTCATTGTAGTTTAATCGATAAAGTAATCAGTACTTTGCTGAAAGACTCACAAGCCCCAAGCAGATTTTTTATTCATTGAATCACTTGCAGAAATGGCCACACAAAAAGAAAATAACTCAAGGCTGTGAATTTTAACAACTGTTGCCCTGAGTTATTTTCCTTTCGTGTGGCTGTTTCTGTGAGTGGTCCAGTAACCCAAACAGAGGGTGGCATTTTGCGAAGGCGTGAATGGCCAAAGCCAGCCTTTCCACTCGTGTTCCAACAAAATGCAATCCGGGGAATGTCTCATGCACCTATATGAGGAAATTGCTTTCTATATATCTAAAGTGCAGGTTATAGGCAAGAAATATAAAGGAGAAAAGGTATCATGGCCTAGCGGAGGCCGCGGGAAGCCGTTTTTCCTTTCATTTCAGAGCAGCTAGGTCCAATTTCACAGCCTGAGGAAGAGAGGGAGTGGGAAAAAAAGCAGGTGAAATCGATTGCGTAGATTGCAGCTGTGTTTTATTGGACTCCTTTTGTGTCATTTTACAGTGTCAGGCAGCAGTAGAATGGATTTACTGTCAGCGCAGAGCTGATAGCAAAACTGAGCCAAGGACAGCAGCCAAAATGGGAGCACCCAACCATCCAGCTATTGTAAAGGAAAATAGGATTATAAAATTCGATAGGATTAAGTACAGGTAGTGACTGACTGACTGAATGAACGAATGAATGAATAATTCAATGCATTTACATTTATTCATTTAGCAGACTCGTACCCAGAGCGACAGCAACATGTGCAGACAATTAAGGCCGACCAGATTGTTTTTATCAATGACTGTGTTTACAAGCACTTAATAATCTGACCATTATCAGATTTCGCATTTATCGGATTATTCAAGCGGTCATGCAAACAGCATACAATTTCTAAGATTGGATAAGGCTTAGAAATCCAATTAATCTGATGGAGAGCTGGATTTTAGCTCAGTAATCAGGTTTTTCAGGGCATGTATACCCTTACTCTGATTTCTTTCGTTTCTCTCCGTCTGTGCATGTGCAAAAAACAGACCACTGTCCCAGAACCAGCAAGTGTTTAACTGCACCTGCGAGAAAGCAACAAAACATTTTTGGAGTGATGCTGATGAAGTGAAGAATTGAAATGTTCTTCATTTTCTGGATAGTGTATGTTCGTATTTTTCAATAAAGTGACTTTTGGAGTTTTCCATTATCTGATTACTCAAGTTGAACGGATTACTAACAAAATCTGATTTTCCGCAGTTATCAGATTATTAAGTGCATGTAAACACACTCTGTATGTATTTCCATTTAAATTCAGTTTTGTTCAATTTCAGTTCAGCAAGATTAAAGCTAAAGTCTAATATACATACTTAGTCAATCATCCAGAATGTCTGTTGTCTACACAATCCTTATTTAGCTTTGCACTGGAGCTACGAGGCTAATGTAGGTTACAAGTGATGGAAAATTATACTGCACCAATTAGAATCGTGCTAACTATATGCCTGAATCATCACACACTTGACTCATACTGTGTTGAGGTGTTCAATAATCTCAAATAGTCTTGCTTATGTGGTTTCTGACACTCTATGACATACTATTATTTACAAAAATGGACAGAAGTACATTTCATTGCTGAAAAAAACAGCAATAGCAGCATCTTGAAAGTTGAATTTTGTCTTTACTTCTGTCCATTTTAAAGAGAGAACTGAATAAATGAATGAATTCATGAATTAATCAATTAATGAATCCCTGTTCCTCTCTGCTACCCTAGTGAGTTAAAGTCCAACCTTAGTCTAGCTCACTGGCAGGGTGGGTCTACTAAAGGGGAACTTTAGGATGGGGTGATTATTCATATTATCTTTTCTTTTAACGGTAAGTTCAGGTTAAAGGGCAACTCCACCAATTTTAAAAAAATCTACATAATTAGATTCTGCCACTGAATGTGCTTCTCTATTTATCCAGTGTAGCATGCAGGGGGTGTGAGTTATTGTCCAAGAATTAAATGGTTGAGACGTAAACAGAGTCGTTCAGAGTGGTTTGGTGTGAAATGCTTCATTCTAGAGAAACTTGCTGAATCAGAATTGTTCACAGTGATGGTGATAGGAACCAGATGTCCACCTCTAAAAGCTCCCTCACAGAAAGTTATTACATGAAATGCATGAAATGGTTAGATATGCACTTCCTGATGTTTGGCCTATTGTTTTATATTAGTTTTGTGATAAAATTTGGCTTAAAATGTATTTGAACCCATTTATTTTAATTCATTCGTGGCAGAGAGGTACACACAGTGTGTTGTGAGGCAAAATGGTCCCCAATTAAAGCTTATTTTTTCAGATTTATGACTATTTTACCATAATCAACATTACATATAAAAACTCAGAAGATGTGAAGGTTCACTGGTGGTTTTGGTAAATAAAATGCTATATTTGTGTTGTAAACATGGCGACCCCTGGTTCTTATCACCACCACTGTAAATAAATCTATCAACCATTTTACATTCAGACCACTTTGAATGGCTGTTTACATCTCAAGGACTGAACTGAATTATTCTGAAATTTTGAAAAATTGTTGGAAGTGATTTTGATTGACTATCGCGAAGAAGTGTCTCACTTCACCCGAATTCCTGCCACTGTTAATCTCAGTGCAGCAGGTTTAATTAAGCCGGACCTTCTGTTGCCTGTGCGTGACATCGCCTTGGATGCAGCCCGAAAAAGTATGAACGCCGTCTAATTCTATTGGTCGCTAAGAAGCCTTCGACGAAGCTGATTGGCTGCTGCTTGTTTCCGGGGCTCAGATTCACCGGTGACGTTTTTTCTCGCAGCAGTGAGACAGACGGGGCGAGAATGGCTGCCGGTGGAGGTTAGAGCTTCACGATTGTTTTTCTCTTCAAGATTCAAACTTCTGTTTCAGAGTTTTCAGGTTTATTTGTATGACACGTATTAGAGATGTCCCTCGCCAATCCCTCCGGGTCATTTAGGATCCGCGGGGTGTCTCTTTTACGCAGAGAAAGATGAGATTGTGTCAGTGTAGCCGGAAAAGTGAGGACGGGTTGGTTAGCTTTAGCATTAGCGTTGGCTTTAGCTGCTAGCCCGACTACAGAGCAGCGATTGTGTAAACAGCGGCCGCTGTGAATTAAAAAGTGGTTGTAGTTTTAAAATACAGATAGTTTTAGGGCGAAATGTTTGTTTCAGAATATATATCGTCGTCTCGTTGGAGGACACAGCGTTCAGAGCTTTTTAACTCGATGGTTGGTGTCCCTATACACTTCAGGACTAGCTTGATTTGTAGTTTACCTATCTAGCAAAATACAGCCATTAGCTTAGCTTAGCTGCTACCTCCTGCTGGGCACAGTTGAGGTAACCTAACTATATTGGCGAGAAATTAACAACCATAGGTTGCCAAAATTAGCTGGCTAACTTAACTCATTCACACTGTCTGCCGGTTTTACACGCTTGTCGAAAGAAGCCCTCGATGCTAACGTTAAGTGTATAAACTAGCTAGGCTAATTTGCTCAGAAAGGCCGGTTGATAGGAAACTGATGCCAGCTTCTTGTTCGAACTTCCCCGTTCCACCTTAAATGGTGCAGCAGTTACATTCCGGCTGCTCGTTCTGCGCTACATTCTACACCATTTAAGGTGGAACGAGAAAACTGGAGCAAGAACCTGGTGAACAGGAACGCCAACTTTAGCCTCATCCGGTTGGTTTGATTGGAAAATGCCGGCCGGTTACACGTTACTGTGCTAACTAACATTAGCTAACGTTACTAATCACCGTTTTTAACTGATGTCATGCTTTGTCATGAATGACACTGCAAAGTTGACCACTTAAGTCACCACCAGCCCCAGTGTTTGGAGGAGACGAACAGCTGGCTAATCCCAAATCTGCTGACTCAGTTTGAGGTTAACCCTGCTTTTCGCCAGCAGGTCTGTTTTTGTGGCTGAGGTTGTCAGAAAGGGATCAGGACCACCTATGTGGCAAGGGTTTGAATTACAGAATTGCTTTTATAGTTCCCAAAGCAAGCTTCTTTTTTCACCCTATGTGCAACAGGAAAAATATAGATGCCTTTAAACTTCAGTGCTGGTGAACACTTTGTGGAGTACCTTGGATGGCAAAGAAAACAAATGGATCCTCGAACAAATCGAGCCTCACTTCTCACTCGAAGCCCAGATAACCACATTTTGGAGCCAGTTTTGCTTGGCAGAGTTGAAGGTAAAAGAGGAAGAGAACGGCCAGCAACAAGATGGATGGGTGCAATCATGAATCAGCCATTCAGAAGCCTGAAGACCCAAACAGTAGACAGGATATTCTGTAGAAACACTATATGGTCGACAGGAGTCGAAAACAACTTAACGGCACTTAGTGATAATAATTTCCACCTTCTCTGATTAGTAATGAATTGCAGGTCTATTCCTGTGAAAAGTCATTAAGTAAATACCTGAACCCTGATTTATGTGATGGTCCCACTAGTTTACATTAGAATAAATATAGATGTTTACAGATTTTGTGGTCAGTGTTAAGAGTCAAGTAATTCTGTTTGTCAGTTCTTGGGTTTGTCTTGCAGCTCTTCAGTTTGTGAGGTCATTGCTCTGCATTTCTCTCTACATGTTTTCACCACAGACGTAGGAAAGCTGTTACAAGTACAGAATGGGACTCCTGCAAGCACAAGCTATAACGGAGTAGACGCCCTTCACGCCTGCACCATCCTCCAGCAGCTCAAAGCCCTGTATGATGAAGCGCAGCTGACCGACATCGTCGTGGAGGTGGACCATGGCAAGACCTTCTCCTGTCACAGAAATGTGCTTGCTGCCATCAGCCCTTACTTCAGGTAGAACTTGCTTCAAGGAAATGTCTTCATAGTGATCTTGTAGTTCGAAGGTAACGAGACCCACTGAGGTATAAATGAAAAGCAGGCTTTGAAAGTAGCAAATGGGTTTGTTAGAGTAAGAGTGGGATATATGGCAAAAACATACTCCAACACATGAAGATACAGGGAGATTCACTTGAAAGAGGCCCCGGATATTCTGGTGTAACACCCGTTAGGATGAAGTAATCTGAACCAAAAGAAATATGCTACAGACCTTGACGTGTGTAATCCATTGTATTATGTGCGATGCTGTAAGTGATCTCCATGAAGGTGCACGGGGGTATGCACCTGGAAGTTGCAAACGCAGGTAAACGCCGTGAGCGCCTACCTCATCGCTCCGACGCAGGGGCATCCCGGCCTGATTGAAGCTCCATATACTGAGGAGCACATTGCGTGTTGTTTCCTTCAGATTGCTTCGTCCTAGTGACAGTCATTACAGAATATTCGGGGCCTCTTTCGAGTGAATCTCCCTGTGCTTTCACAATGTATATTATATAGCATGATTATTCTTGTTTTTCTGAGGTTTGATAACCTAGTATACACATAATGCACCAGTAATGCCACATTTAAAATGCTTTTAACTAGGACTGGGAAATATAACAATTCTATTTGTGATAAATTATGTCACAATATAATTTGCTGAGTATATCATGGGTATCGTAAGTGCTTAAACTCCTCTAAAAAGCTTGTTTGATTAAAAAGACAGCATAGTTAGTCCTATTTAATTCATTTAATGTAGCATAGTGTGCTAAATGTTGGAACAGAAATAACTGGATTAATAGTTTTTATACTATTTTTTTTAAATGTGCCATTACTTAGTCTGTTCTACCTTATCAGATGTCAGAAAAAATAAATATTGAGACATTGTGTATCATGAAAACTTCTTAAAGTGTCATGATTTTTACATTTTTGCCATATCAGCTATATTGCCCACTCCAGTATTGGAGCACAGGAGCTGGGCAAAACTGTTAAATTGTTTTTGGAAGGGAATCTATGTAGAAACGTGTTTGTTTAGAAGCTAAATATTTTACCTGACAAGGCATGATAACATTTATGTATATGAAAGTCCACAGTGTGACTGTTTTGAGATACTTATTTGTAGCCAAGAAGACTGATTCGCTGTATCCCAGCAATCTGAACTTTTTGACAAACACCAAAAAGTTTAGTATAACTTCTGCTTCATAACATGTGAAGCTGCATCTCCAAAAGCACTTCAAGCTGAGTTATTCACGCTATCTGTGAAACCACTTAACGTTTCAGCTCCTGAATTAACCAATGAAACTCTCCGTTCTCCTTTTGCGTTGTATTTGTGTAATGGCGTTAAGAATTACAGGCTTAGACACTTAGCACTAAAAACTGTCCTGTTTTTCTGAAGCCAGAAAAAACATCGGTGAAGCTTCATCATTGATCTAAGCACCCATATTCAACTTGCTACAAACACCTTGATGCTGTTCAGAAGTCTTTTTGGTTTGTTTTTTCTCCATTAGAGAGGTTCAGAGTTAATGCAGCTACACACAACTTTTGTTATTAACTTGTTTTTGGCATTTTTTTTCAGATGTCTCTAGTCTTTTTGGTTTACTTTTTTCTCTATCAAGTCAGATCAAGAAGAGCTTTGAATGATTGTTTTTCAGAAAACTTATTCTTTTTTTTTTTCCTCCTCATCTCCCCAATTGTGTTAGATCCATGTTCACCAGTGGCCTTACGGAGAGCAGCCAGCGCGAGGTGCGAATCGTTGGCGTCGAGTCAGAGTCCATGCGCCTGGTTCTGGACTACGCCTACACCTCACGGGTCACCTTGTCCGAGTCCAACGTGCAGGCCCTGTTCACAGCGGCCAGCATCTTCCAGATCCCGGCGCTGCAGGACCAGTGCGCTCACTTCATGATCAGCCGGCTGGATCCCCAGAACTGCATAGGGGTGTTTATGTTTGCAGATGCCTACGGGCACCAGGAGCTGCGCGAGCGCTCGCAGGACTACATCCGCAAGAAGTTCCTGTGCGTGATGGGCGAGCAGGAGTTCTTGCAGCTGACCAAGGAGCAGCTGGTCAGCATCCTCAACAACGATGACCTCAACGTGGAGAAGGAGGAGCACGTATACGAGAGCATAGTGCGCTGGCTGGAGCACGACCGGCCGCGCCGCGAGGCTGATCTACCAGAGGTCTTCGCCGAGTGCATCCGTCTACCGCTGCTGGATGAGGCTTTTCTGAGCCACATCCCTCCCGCCTTCGCCCTGGCTCTGTCCAAAGAGCCTGCGGACAAGGGGCGGCTGAACGGCACCAGCGGCTGCCCGCAGCGCCTCGGCATGACCGCATCCGAGATGATCATCTGCTTTGATGCGGCGCACAAACACTCAGGGAAGAAGCAGACGGTGCCTTGCCTGGACACCGCCACGGGGAAGGTCTACAAACTCTGCAAGCCACCCAATGACCTCCGCGAGGTCGGCATCGTCGTCACATCTGAGAACGACATCTTCATCGCTGGCGGATACCGGCCAAGCAACAGCGAGGTGTCCATCGATCACCGGGCAGAAAGCGATTTCTGGCAGTACGAGCATGCCGGAAACCGCTGGTTACCGCGCTCCCCCATGTTGCGAGCGCGAATCGGCTGCAGGCTGGTGCACTGCTGTGGCAAACTGTATGCCCTCGGTGGACGTGTGTACGAAGGGGACGGACGAAATGCACTGAAATCAGTCGAGTGCTACGACGCCCGGGACAACTGCTGGACTGCTGTTAGCCCAATGCCTATTGCCATGGAGTTCCACAGTGCCATAGAGTATAAGGACCGCATCTATGTGCTCCAAGGTGAGTATTTTTTTAATGTAAGCTGTTTAAAAACAGGATCATTGGGGCAAAAATATACAACATATGTCAATTTTTATGGATAAGTATTAGAGATTTTTTACGTGATCATAAAAGCTGATGAAATTGAATAGAATAGAAGCAAATTAGCCTTTTTTTAACATTTATATATCGCTGTTGTCGGAAGCAAACCTCGAATCTACCTGAAAATACCTGTTACCCTTTGCATTGTATGTAAATTTCATGATGAATGGACTAAAAAAAATGACCCACATTGACTTGGAAAAACGTCTGGTTCCATTGACTTACATTAAAAGTAAAGCAGCGATGTTCTCATATGTAAGAAATATCAGGTGTCTGAGCTCCATACTCCACCATATATCTGAACTCCGTACTCCATCAGAGTGCCTGTGTCTTAAGTTTTGGCTAGAGGTTCTGATCTGTCCAGTCCAGTGAAGGAAATGCCGAAAGACTAAAAGCTGCTCTCACATAGAAAGCGTCAGAGTAAATTTTAAGCCACTTGTCATCTACCATGGCTTTTTGTGGTGTGGTTCTGGATTAAGTTTAGAGCAGTAATAGAGCTGCTGAGTGGTGCTCAGCAACATTGAGCAATGCTGGAAGTCGGTGGGTGACTTGTGGTGCTTGCCAACGCAGAATGTCAGCAGTAGTATGCACACCTTTGTTAAAAACAATGTGCCTAATTCACCAATATCTTCCTAAATTTAAAAAAAAATTGTTCTTGAGAAATGTCCAAAGAAAAGTCTACATCGGATTCATTACGTGTTCTTAAACCGCAGAATTGTTCGCACATTTGTGCTCTTGAGAGTGTATAGATTCGGTTCTTACTTGAGAACAAATCCTACATAAGAAGATATTGGTAAGTGTCGGAATTTTCATCAAAACTATGAAAATGGGCTTTACGAAGAAATTTCTCTTTAAGAACAGTTGGTGAATGAGGCTCATTGGTTTTGAATTCTTGGACACTGTGTGTCCAGCAGTCGTCAACTGTGAGGAGGGGCTGGGAAATATGACAGTATTTATTGTTATCATGCTAAATTGTCACAATGTACTTTACTGAGTATTGTGAATGTCATTAGTACTTTCAAATGCATGTTTTATTAAGAGAGCATAAGTAGTCCTGTTTAATTGATTTAACATAGCATAGTTTGTGAAATGCTGAACACAAATAACTGGATTCATAGTTTTTATACTTTTGTGCCACTACTTTTTCTTTCCAACGAGATGTCAAGAAAAGTAAATATTTAACATATTGTGTATCATGAAAACTTCCTGAAATATTGTAATATTACATTCATGCCTTATCTGGCACCTCTACCGTGAGGTAGCATTAAGAGTCCTATGTGTAACCAAAAGATATATGAAAATACAAATTATTTTTTTTATATTCGAGGTTGAAGGGTTTACATGTTATTTCTAATGTATTACAGATTTAGATATCAAATTTGACTGAAATACCCATCACTAAACAGTGTGTCAGTGTCTAACCACATATGCAAGTCTGCGACTTAACTAGAAATGGCTTCAGGCAAGTTTATAGTGATCCAGTTTGTGATGATGCAGTTTGCTCAGTGCTAATTGGTAGAGTAAAACTAGCTTCATTGGCCTCGAACTTTCAGTGCAAAACAGAAGCAAAATCTTGTGTGGTTTTCTTTTTTTCACCAGACTATTCCTTAAAAGACACTGAATGGCTTGAGGATAGTGTATGATATATTCAGTTATTGTGATGACTTTAAATGAAGCCTTCAGAAGTGTTCTTTAATTTTTGAACAACAAATTTGAATATTTTTATCACTTCAAAGTTTAGTAATACTAATGTGGATATAAAACAGAACATCTTACATCAAGAGAACTTTTCTGGGGTTAGTTTCCGCCTTTCGTATCCTAATGAATGCTTTTATGCCTGTGCGTGAGCTTTCGGCAGAACAGTTTCCTTCTAGTAATATTAATGATTTTCATTACTCTTAGACTGTATAGGCCGCATGTAGGTTACTGGTGTTTAGAGCCTAATAAACTTTTACTCGTCAATTATCTGTTTATCCTTTTTCTGTTATTTATTTTTTCTTTTTATCTGTCCGTAGGCGAATACTTCTTTTGTTTCGACCCTCGCAAAGACTACTGGGGCCACCTGGCCCCCATGAGCGTCCCTCGCAGCCAAGGCCTGGCGGCACTGCACAAGAACCACATCTACTACATCGCGGGGATCTGCCGCAACCACCAGCGCACCTTCACCGTGGAGGTGTACGACATCGAGCAGAACAGCTGGAGCCGTCGGAGGGACCTGCCCTTCGAGCAGGCGGCCAGCCCCTACATCAAGGCCCTGCTGCTGGGCGGCCAGCTGCACCTGTTTGTCCGCGCCACGCAGGTGATGGTGGAGGAGCACGTGTTCCGCACCAGCCGCAAGAACTCCCTCTACCAATACGACGAAGAGGCTGACCGCTGGACCAAAGTCTACGAGACGCCCGATCGTCTCTGGGACCTCGGCCGCCATTTTGAGTGCGTGGTGGCCAAGCTGTACCCTCAGTGTCTTCAGAAAGTGCTATGAGTGGTGGATGAGGAAGCAGGGAGTTTTTTTTTTTTTGTTTGTTTGTTTCTTTGTTGTTTATTTTTTTTTCGGGTGGAAAAGGGGTGCCCCTTTGCCCCCTCACATATGGTGCTGTCCAAACACGCAAGAACCCAACGGAGGGGTGAAGTCTTAAACAAAACAAACAAAAAAAAAACGCGGCGACGCTTTCGATCGAGGGCTAACCAGAAAGACGGCAGTATTTTAACCTTCGAGAGACGAGCACAAAGTGCCCTCGCCGTTGCTTGTTTTACAGTCGAAAAACAAAACGAATTATAAGTGCAATTATCATGTTGTTCGCAAGCGTTTGTTGAGCCATGTTTTTTTTCCTTCGCTTATATCTTTATGGCATAAGTTAGGGATTTGATTTTGTTGTTGCTGTTTGTTTTTTTGATTTTCCTTTGGTTTGTTGGCATGCAGTGTTGGGACAGAGTAGATGATGTTGAAGTCCTTTTTTTTTCATTTTAATATTATTTTTTAGAAAGGACGAGCAGTGTGTCAGCATCAGAAATATGAAAATAAAGTAATAAATATATAAATAGCTATATATTCATACGGGTATGGTGGGCCGAGGTGCTCACCGTTTGGGTAGCTAGGTCTGAAGATTGAGTTGTTGTTGTGTTTTTTTTTTTTTGTTTTTTTTTAAATAGACTTTCTTTCTTGCCACTTATGGAGAGATTCTCTCTATTTTTGTTTGTTTGTTTTGACTATTTAGTTAGGTCATGGTCAGTTTAGGTTAGTTTAATTGCCAAGATGCTTCGGTGGCTGTTTGTTTGTTTCTTTGTTTGGTATTTTTTTTAAAAAAATAACTTTTGTAGTTTTGCTTTGTAACATGTCAACCCATATGCTTTTTGAAGCCGCTGCAGTTTTTAAGTTTCATTTTTGGTTCTGCTTTTCATGTTATTTGTTGAGCTCAGCTGCCCAACAGAAGTCTTTATTGGTGTCCGTAGAGCTTTTGCTATTGTGTGTTCTTAGCTTTGTCACGCTAAAGCAACTCACCAGCTAACCCTTCTTGAGTTGAATCAAGTGTGCAAGAACAGGAAAAAAACACTGAACTGTGCAGTGCTGTTATCCAAGGAGCACTAGTATAGGCTACAGATGGATACCTGGATATAAACACACCCCTTAGCTATATCTTTGCAATTTTGTGTCACCAGCTACATCTTTAGTGAGGTCACAATGTTGTACTCGGTCTCCATATTGGAGAGAAGAAAGAGCAGATCCAGTGTCGTATACTGCGGAGCTGAGTTCATGGGTTTGGGCGCTAACTTGGAAATTGAATTTGAGGGAACGTTAAAGTAAAGGTTTTCAGATGCAGTTCTGGGGACATGCTGACCTGAATTCTCATGCTTTAACTTTCATAAAATGTTTGAGAATTAGCTGATCACTTGAGTCCAGCGTGTTAAAGCTGGTTTTAGTCGCTACTCTCCAGTAGTGGTGGGCGATATGGCAGAAATATAACATCATGATACATTTTCATGACATGCAGTGAGAATTTTTAATAAGTTGGAACTTAAACCCCAGTAGTGCTAAAAATAATACCAAACTTTGAATACAACGATACAGTACTGCACTTCGCTAAATCCAATTAAGCAAAGCTCATTATTCTCTATTTATAATGATACATGGAGTCGGTCAGTGTCCTTTAAGTACTGACAATATCTCTGAAAAGCAAATGCTCTGAAAAGCATGTCGCTGCTGCTGGAACAAAACCTTGTATCTCCATTATGGTAGCTTTACAGGAGAACTTTTAATGTAAGTCAGTGGAACCAGAATTTTTGCCAAGTAATGGGCCATTTTGGGCCATTTCTGTTGGCCCATTCTTCATAAAATTTCAAATTATGTCAAAAAACTGAAAAAACGGCAAAAATGAAGATAGGTTTTGTTCCGACAGCAGCAATATTGTGATGTAATATGACTTAATTAATCACAATAATGGTAAATATCATCATATTGCCCACCTCTACAGTTCAGCATGTCCAGCATCTTTTACCACAAGTTAAACATTTACCATGGGTGGAAAATAGGGCTGGGTATTATTTGAAATGTTTTGATGCTAAATTTTAAAAACAAAAGTATTGAATTAAAAATCATGGCAGCACTTTATTTGAAGGCTGTCTACATAAGGCCTGCATAACCACTGAATAACATAAAAAGCAGTATAGGAGTATTTATAAGAAGCTTATCGCTGCTCTTGGAACAAAACCTTGTATCTCCAAAATGGTAACTACAGGAGAAGAAAAAACATACTATACTTTTAATGTAGGTCAATGGAACCAGACTTTTTCCCAAGTAATTTTGGGCCATTTATGAAATTTACACACATTGTAAAGGGCAACCGGCATTTTCAAATATGTCAAAAACTGGAAAACGACAAAAATAGAGATACGAGGTTTTGTTCCGACAGCAGCGATATATTTATATTCACAGCGTATGATGTTCTATGAAGTAAATGACGTTGTATTTCCATAAGGGCTGATAGACATTTGATATGAAAGCGTTTAAGGCCTAATCAAGAACACCACATACTGAATTAGGGCTGGTGTTCATACCAAGATCGCTGCCTTAGAAGCTCCATTATATTTGTGGCCTGTTATTTCAGTGCAGTGCCATGTAACTGTTATGGAAATGTTAAAATGCATTATTCAGTGCTTTTTTTTATGTGTTATGCAGGTGCTTTTCAAAGTTTTTCCCAAAGTCTTATATCTGAAGGGATTGCATGGTAAGCAAAGGAGGACTGTGCTAACATCATTCACATTCGCCAATCGCCAGTCTGTTTTGGAAGATATTTGAGATGTTGAAATTTGGTATTGGATGACCGTTTTTCATTCAGTTGGTATAAAAGTGCTGAATTTTGATGCCCAGCCCTAGAAGCAAAGCATAAGACTGCAGAACAGTGTTGCCCCTGTGAATAAATAAGAAAAAAAAAGTAACCTCGCTGCAAAATGTGGTTACTCTAAGACCGTTTGCTGACCCATGAGTGTGGCTTTGTGGTGCACCATCCGGGCTGCATGCGTAGTTGAGGTTCATATGAAATGAAATGAAACCCTGGCAATATGTTTGCTGAACGCCAGATGACGTCAGATGAGGCAGTAAGATTGATCAATGTCCTCGGTGATGTGGCCTACACCGGGACGGCCCTGTTCGGCTTGCTTTCATCCAGTCGTCCTGTCCGAAACGTGAATTCTGTTTGCATCAAATGGGACGGACGCCCCTCTCAGTGGGAGGTTTACGCATTAAAGAAGTCACAGGCTTGTTCCTGTTAGCAATAACAGATGTTTAATGTCCTTCCTTGGAGAAAAACAATCATTTAGAAATGGACACAATGTGGCTGGAGTCGTATGATTACCGTTTAAGGAATTGTGTTATATAGCTGTCTAACGGGGTCCGTCTTTGAGGTGCCATCTGAAACCTAAGACGGTGTTTACTGGCCACTGGTCACTCGTGGGAAGCTCCAGCCTTGATTTTGGAGTTCCACATGCCTCCTTTGAGTGCTGAAAGGGCAGGGGTGGGTCCAGTGCTTGGCCCCCTGCAGCGTCCGAGTCTTACCTTACTCTACGTGTTGCACTGAGATGCTTTAAACAAGCCTCCCGTCGTCTTCTGAAGAGAGTTTCCGTGAAGTCTCAGCAGAGCGTCACCCGGACTGTCTGACCGCTCTCTTAGTCCCGTTTCCATGCGTCCATCTTCTGATGTCATAAATATGGAGACTAATTTGAATAATCGTTTCTCGGTGCTGCTTTTTCTTTGACAATCTTGTACAGAAATGCGTTTTAATACAGCCACTGGGTTAAGGTCCTGTTGTAGCTCTATCATTTTGAGCATTATTGTGTTTTGGTTTTGTTGGTTTTTGTGGTTTATTTACGTTTATCATATGCAGGTTCCCTGTGGCGTACTGATCTTGCACTACATCCTCCTCTCACTTCTTTCTTTCTCTGCTTCCTTCTTTTTCTTTCTCTCTCGCTCTTTCTCCTATCTTTGCTTTCTTCAGTTTTTCTTTCTCTCCCTCTTCCCTTCCGTCTCCCTCTCTTTTGTGTTCTTTTTTATTGCATACTCTCTTGCCCTCTTAGTTTTCTTTCTTTTTTCCTCACTTCTTTTGTTTCTTTATCTCCCCCTCCCCCTTTTCTTTTCCTCCTTTTTTGTTTCTTTTTTGTTTTCTTTCTTTTTTCTCTTTCTCTTTCTCCTGTCTTTGCTTTTACTCTCTCTTCTTTTGATCTTTTCTTTCTTTCTCTTTTGTTCTCCTGCTCCCTTTCTTTTGATCTCTTCTTTCTTGCTTACTCTCTTGGCCTTTTTCTCTTTTGCTCTTTTTTCTCTCTCTTTCCCTGTTTTCTTTCTTTTTCCTCAATTCTTTTTTTTCTCTTAATTTTCTCTCTTTCTCCCCCTCTCTCCTCCTTTTCTTTTGCTTTGTTTTTGTTTGTCTTGCTTTTCTTTATTTCTCTCCTCTTTTTCCTTTCTCTCTCTCTCTTTCTCCTATCTTTGCTTTTCCTCTTTTTTCTTTTTTCTTTCTTATTTTCGTTACATCTCTCTCACTTCTGTGTTCTTTTCTTGCTTACTTTCTTGCTCTTTTGTTTTTTTTGCCCTTCTTTCTCTTTCCCAGTTTTCTTCACCCCCCCACTTTTTTCTTTCAATTTTTTTCCTCTTTCTCTCCCCCTTTCTTTTGCTCACGTTTTGTTTTTCTCATTTTTTTTCTTTTCTTTTTTCTTTTTCTTTCTCTTCCTTTTCTGTCCATCTCTCTCTCTCTCTCTCTCTCTCTCTCGCTCTCTCTCTCTCTCTCTCGCTCTCTCTCTCTCGCTCTCTCTCTCTCTCGCTCGCTCTCTCTCTCTCGCTCTCTCTCTCTCGCTCTCTCTCTCTCTCTCTCGCTCTCTCTCTCTCTGAATCAGTGGCTTCGTGAAGCAATCTCAGAAAGCCGAATTCTCGTTTCCAAAAGTAAAGTGAGCGCTGCGCTCGAGCCGAGGCCGCGTCCTGTCAGGACTTGAAAGCTTTCTGTACGAGGAGGCGCAAATCCAGCAGAGCTCCCAGCTGAGGAGTTCGTTCAGTAATGAACCACATCTATGCCGTAGACTCTTGACGTCCAAAGCCCTCCTCGGGCCATAAAGGAGGACGGACAGGTGGACGGACTGTGCAGTGACCGCCGTGCAATAGGTCGCCCTCGGCAGACTCGCTCCAAAGCTCAGTAGCACGGGAACCAGAAAAACGGACCATTCTCAGGATTAATTACGGATACCCAGTACTGTATTGACTATGGTTTGATATACGTGTAATATACTGTAACATACGTTTTGCTGTACTTGCACAGTTTTTTTGTTTGTTTTTCGTTTTTTTAACAGGATTTTATTTCCTTTATCTTTTTCAACTTGAATAATAGATGTGAGTGTTTGTTTTCCAGATGACTGTTTATTTTCTATTTTAAATAGATGCGCAGTTTTTGCTAGGTTTGTTCGGTGAATCACAAATATGGAAATCAACACAAAGCTTTTTTTTTTTTTCTTCTTTTTTTTTGTTAATCTGTTTTCCAATGATTACATCACTATAAAATAACACAAAGCATTACAGACAATAATTGCAACAGCAGTACTATTTTTAACTCTCCAAAAAACACCAGTCGTCTCGTCCAAATGTACAAAAAGCTTTGAAAGAGTTTTATGAACTGCACTTCTCGTGTTGTTGCCTGCTGCAAGTGCAAAACCCATTCACCTCATGTTTGCATTTCACTCACCGTTCTGTACCAGAGAATGGCTAGACAGTGTTTCTTTCCACTTGTTAGGTTTTTTTATTTTTTATTTTTGTGTCTCTACTTTTTTTTTTTTGTTTGCCTGTTTGTATGGTATGAGAGTTTGGTAAATATACTTTGAGCTCTACTGTGAAATTCACATTGCACATAATTTGAAAATAAAAAGATTTAAAAAGTCTGTCCTTTTAGCAGCCTCCCTATGTCCGCCGCCTAGCAATAGGGTGCTGTTGCGTTCGCAGTGGTGTTCGTACTCTTGCTTAATTAACATTATAAAGGTATGCAAAATTTCACTGGTGTTTTTCAAAGGAAATGTCTCTGAGGGTGTTGTTTACTTGCGCTTGCAGCTGGTTTGATATACATGATCTTACATCAGCCGTGACTTTCTGCGAATTTAGCATAGCTGGAGGCTGAGAGGATTTGGAATTTATTCCCTGATGAATCGCCTGTCCATTCCATTGTTTTACCCTCAAGGGATTTTTTTTTATCAGAAAAGAGTGATAAATCAGTGCGTTCATATTTTTGTTTATTTATTTTTACTGTGGAGAAATGCATATGTGAATCAAACAGGCTTTTAACTCGTTTATTTCTTTTTGCAGAGTGATTTTACTATGAAAGAAACACCACTTCTGTAACCTGTCACTGCTTCATTGACCTACTTTGAAAAAGCTCATGGTCATACAGCTTCTATGTATAGTTTTAAGTAGGCTGTGCTACATGTGGGATCTAAATATTTCCATCCCAAGTCAGCCACTTCTCACAGATGCCTGTAATCTAGACGGGTGTGGGCACAGCATGTTATTAATCCTTCATTTCTGTTCAGCAGTGCTTTATTGGCATGTATGTTACAAGATATGTGATTGTCACAGCAATTAACATAAACGTAAATTGGTGGGAAAAGGGGCGGAACAAATTTGAAGAGAAATAACTTCAATATCATTAATCAATGTTTTCAAACAATGTCTTATGGTTTTCTGCTAAACAGAAACTAATAACTAGAAATGAAGTTGTCCATGTTATGTCAAGTCATGTTACGGCACATGGTTGCTGTCTGTATGTTGTTGCTGTAGTAACAAAACTATGCATCTCCAAAATGGTAACTTTTGTAGGAGATGAAAGCCACTGAGAGCATGTATTATATTATTATATTATTATTATAACAGTAACACCAGCTGCCACCAACATTAAAAGTAAGGCACTTATTTGACAGCACAAGTTAACTTTTCCATATCATAAATCTTCCAAACTATTAATATCTACTGTTTTTCTTTGGTCGAAGATTCGGTTAAACCTGTGTTTAAACAAAAACACTACAAAGACAAAAACTTTATTAACGTTATTATTTTTTGTAAATATAAAGTCTTGAAATTGATGCGTAGAACATGTTTCAAAAAGATGGGATGGGGAGCTTGAAACCTAAGAACATTACGAAATCCTAAAACCTTTTAAGAAGGCGATTTAAACATGCTTGGGGACTAATGGAGCCTCCTGGAAAGGCCTAGTTCTCAGTGAGCAAGGATGGCGAAGGTTCACCACTTTGACATAATCCATCAGCGAATAATCCGACTGTTTACCTCAACAAATGATTGCAAAGATTTTTTAGTGTCTCACCTTCGAGTGTGTAATATCAGCAAAAGATCAGGAAATGTGGAGAAATCTCTGCATAAAGGAAAAGTATTAGTGCATATTGTAACTAGCACATCTGTGCACATGTGAAAATGTATGGCGCAAAATACAACAACAATGTTTGGACAGCTAAAGCCTGAAGAATGGCCAAAAAATACTTCTAAAACAAAATCTGTAAGTAAAAGCATTAAATATTGTATTTTTGTTCATTTAAAATTTGGTCTACTTCATGTTTTTGTTAGCATTTCTCCTACAGTGCCAACTTTTTTTTGCAATGTAGGTTTGTATAATTTGGTTTGCAGTGTTTTTAATCTCTTTTAAGTAGTGCTGCCACACCTGAAGGTATATAAAACAATCTTGGTTTTCTAGACAGTATGGCTTTTAATGTCTGGAAACTTAAGTGTCCATTTATATATGGTTCGACGGGGATACATTTTCTAAACCTCTTTCAAGCTGTCCAATTCAGTCTGCTGGTCTGATTTCTTAGAACCAAAACATTGGTAACCTTAATACGCATTAATACAACAATTTTATTCCAGCTTATTTTGAACCATTTCTTTGGTTGAGACTGAACCAAGGTGGGAAATTTGTCTGAATCAAGGCTGCATTAGTGGAGGTGCGCATTATAAAGGGATATAGGGCCAGGGCCAGGTGTAGGCCATTATCAACACATTAATCATTGTCAGTAGATGGGTGTCACATGCTATTGAGTGGCACTGTCAAGCACTGATTGACTTATAGAGGGTACAAAGGTCAGGATGTACAGGAAGAGACCCTGTCCTAATTCAAATGGTCAAGATTTCTGTATCTTTCCCCCAGGCTCTTCTCTGTCTCACTCTGTTGCTTTCTCTCAGAGTGGTCATGGGTGCAACAGCGGCCTCGGCGTTGGGGTACACTCCTCCGGACGGCGGCTGGGGCTGGGTGGTAGTGTTTGGGGCCTTCATCTCCATCGGCTTCTCCTACGCCTTCCCCAAGGCCCTCACCATCTTCTTCAAGGAGATCCGTCAGCACTTCGGCGTCTCCTACAGCCAGATAGCGTGGGTGTCCTCCATCATGCTGGCCGTTATGTATGCAGGAGGTAAGGTGCTTTTCAATCTTTCATAGGGACCGTGAGCTGATCTATAGACTGCTGATGAGGAACATCATTTGGAAGAGTAAATTGCGGTGGTGCTGCAGTATCTTGGGTCGGATTTGTATTCAGTCACTCTGTCCGTTTCTCATGTTGGGTCACCGTTCTTTGCTGGGCAGAAGCTAAAGGGCCTTTGGGGGCTGGGATGTAGGGTCTCATCAAGCTTCTCCAGAAACAGATAAAGCAGTGGCTAAAAACAAAAGTCTAATCTTTGTAGAACTCCTCTTAGCCCAAGCCAAGCCTGAAGTTTGCTTCAGTTTGCTCTGGAGCTGCAAGGCTAATATAACTAATAAGCAATGGAAGCTTAAGCCACCAGTTAGTATTGTGCAAACTGCTTGCTTAAATCAGTAGACAGTCAAAGACACCTGCTTATGTGGATTCTGACACTATATGTCATTGATATCTAAGATAAAGGGGGAAAGTACAGACAAAATCCTGTGTTCAGGGTAGTTTAAGATCATTTTAACTATGCAGCACACTTTTAGTCCACAACATAGGCCTACTTTAGAGTTCCAGTGCTATAGAGATGTTTCTGACAGGTTGTACTGTATGACAGACTGTTATCTATAAACAAAGGACAAGTGTACATGACATGGCTGAACAGCAATAGTAACCATCTTTGCCCATACCTTTGTCCGTTTTACTTCACGAGCCCATAATCTACATTTATCTTGCAAGTTATTTATCCTCTAAGGTCAGTTCATAGTGTTTGTGTGGGTTACTCACTTCAGATGCATTCAGCTAAATATCTGCTAAATTGACCCTAACTCTAAACCTGGCTCTAATCCTAACCCTAACCTAAACCTCAACCTAATACCTAAACCCAACCCTCACCCTGGTCCAATCCTGACCCTAACCCCACCACTGTTTAGAATCAACTGAGTTTCAGCAGATAGTTTAACAATTTGAACATCTGTAGATAATCTATAGGGACTATAGTGGACTATCCAAATAAAGTGAGACCGGATGTCATTGAAATTGCAGTTCTTGCGATTTGAACTGTTACAAATTGCGATTTCGATATTTAAGCAATTCATCTTTCAGCCATATATTAGAGGGAGGAACTGAAGTGTGGGGTCGCATAAAGGCCCTTATGGTTTATGGTATCTAGAAAATTGGTCCATTACCTTTTTTACTGCTTTTAAAAAACATTTTTAGGGTTAGTGTTTTTTTCAGTAGCCTTACAAACAGACGTGTGACAGCTTTAGCATCTTATGCTCGTGGGTATATTTGGGTTTTTCCATCTGAATTTACATGCTCAAATTCTAAGGCAAATAATTCAGTAACTGAAATAAATGTAAAGTTCCCCTCAAATTAACAGAAAATGTGTTTTATGATCACACATATTGCTATATGCTTACAATTTACTGCTGAAATCTTAAATGCTTAGATGCTCTTTTCATTTTTTTATAAAAATAATTTTTACAGAGCAGATCACTGAAGAGACGCCGTCTGAGATCCAGTTTATAGCCCAGATTTGTGGAAAAATGGGTCGACTTTCAGTAGAAAAAAAAATTGTGAGTTCAGCTTCTTTTATTATAAAGTTTTAAAATGACATCACCCAACTATTTGGCTGGAAAGAAGACAGTTACAGCTCTCATATGACACCCACTTTTTAAATGTAGCTTATGAAATATTAAAATCATGTAGTAAAGAATATGAAGAAGTGTGTTTTGGAACCACCGGTGATTCCAAGGGGTTAAAAGGGTTGGAGCTCAAATCCTAAGAAACTCTGGAGATACGAGGTTTCCTCAGAAGGTTCTCGCCTTTGAGGCTTTGATGATGGGACACTTGCAATACCTAAAACAGTCCTGATAGGATTAAAATTCTGATCAGGGGTCACAAAAACAACACAGTTCAATCTGAGACAGTTTCAGAGTGCTTCGACTGTTCCATTTAGCGCTGCTTTTCCCAGTGATCTTAGCTGAAAATAAGACAAGGAAAGGGCCAGTTTCCCAGACCCAGATTAAGCCTAAGCCTAGACTAAAAAGCTTTTCCAATGGCGATTCACCATTCGCTTTCCAATTTAGTCTGTGGCTTGGCTTAATCCATTCCAGACTATTGATTGTTGCTGTTTGTAAGAAGTCATCACGGCTCAGAGGAAGAAAACGGTCAGACCGTTAGAGCACGAGAGCTGATGGATTTACTGTAATACCCAGTGTGATCGTTGTGCTTCTACGCAAGTGATAAAAAATAGTACCTAAAAAGGGGGATAAGAGGGATAAGGCTGCAGGAGCGCTGGGGTCTTAGAGCCCTATCATCATTAACACGGAGAGAGAGAGAGTATTCCCATGTGGAACAGTGACGGCACAGGCTTCATCATAACGTCCTTGGCTTCTCTTTTGCCAATGTCACCCCACGCGCACTGGAAGAACGACAGCGGAGATACATCACCCGCAGGTCCACTGCTTTTTCCCCTTCACCACCAGTCCCAGCGGGAGCGCCAAGATGACCCCGCCTCACTCGGGCGGGTGTGACTTGAGCGGGACGGCCGAGGGAGCGGTGATGGGGCGATTGGTGATCTCTCGAGGGGTCCAAGCACCTCATGAATGAGATTGTGTCAGATATGGTTGTGTGCTGGTGGTTTTGGCTGAATCAGCTGGATTGCTGTTACATACATTATTAAAAATAAATGATTTTAGGAGTGATGTAGAAGAACCACTTTTGATTCCTTAAAGGAGAACTGGTTTTTCAAAAGTGGTGGCGATGGGAACCAGACGTCTGAAGCATTTAATGCCTCGAAAAGCTCCCTCACAGAAAGATATTACATGATATGATCACAAGTATGTTTGATACCAGTATGCAAGTATGTTTTACCATTATTAGCATTACATATAAATGTCATATGAAGGTTCACTGGTCATTTTGGATAGTCAATAAAATGGCTATATGAGTCATTCTATGGAAACGTCCATTTTTGTGTCCCTAGCGTTTACAGATATATTACACTTGAAAAACATGTTACAGTTTATTTATATTTTAAAATAAAACGAGTTATTTTAACAATTACACCTTCTTCAATTTAGCAGTATTGCTTTTGAAATAAATTATTTAGAATTCCAAGCACCACAGAAGTGCTCGTCCTCACAGTCAGGTGTGCAGGGTGAGGCCATATTTTGAGGTAAAAAAACATATTTTTCTACAATAATCTATACATGGCTATGAAATATATGAATTAAATGACTTAAAGAAAACAAATGCCAAATAAATATTATAAAATATATGATGAAAGTTGTGGCCCCCGGGAGTCGTGTCACTGGTGTTACTGTGTAACAAAAAAAATCTCTTATTTTGAAATAAAAGTCACACTGATGACATCACTTGACTTCCTTTTACTTGTTTTCTGAGGATCTGTGAAGAAAAGCACATGGTGAGTCCACTGTGTCTTTCAGTTATCAGAGATTTTCTCATTCAGCTCATGATTTCATATAAGGCTTTTAGTTGAAGTCACTGGTGTGACCGACTTTATTTTATTTTTTTTATTTTATCTTTATTTTTTATTTCAACATGTGGTTTGATGCTCTGTTGCAGCCATTTTGTAAAATGCATTGTTCATTAAAAATGTCTCTGGTGTCACCTTTCTTAGGTGTAAAACCAATGAGGATCAGTAACAACAGTGACTCCTATGGATAGATTAAAAAGTGGATGTACACATAGGCCACTGTAGCTGGATCCACACTGTTCTTCATGCAATGACCTGAAGGACCATTTTTGGTTGTCTAAAGCACTTTTCAATTAATTTTTCTTTGGAGAACTGTTTCTGTAGATGATATGTGTGAATGTGAAAACGCTTCTTAAAATTTGAAAACGCTTCACATAATGTATAGGTTCTAGAAAGGACTAAATTGGAAACACATTATGTGAAGGTTCTTTGAACGTTCTTCACATGCACAAATCTCGATCAAACTTGGTTATCTAGGGTAGCAAAATGGTTCTTCTGTGGCCTTTCCTGGCACTTTTGTTCATGCCCAAATCCGGAACAGGTTCACTTAATCGAGTTTTTGGGACAAAATAAAATCATTTTGCTTGCAACACCCACGACATGGCAAATTAGGTCTAGGTGTGAAGCATGAAAAACAAAGAGGTACAAATGTATTACTCGAACATTATTAATAGAAAATCAACAGCTAAAAAATAATAACTAAAAAATAAAAGCCATCTTACAGTTTACTAACACTTAAAAACTCAACATACTGTTCTAAAATTGGATGAGTGCTTTTCCTGATAGACATTCTCATTTAAATGCATCTAAATATTCAAGTGAAATCAGTGCTTATTTTCCAAAGAATGTATGTATACATGTATATGTGTATTCTAGAGAAACGTCCACTTTTTATCTGTCTATAGGTATCACTGGTGTTACTTATCACTGGTGTTACACATAAGAAAGGTAACAACAGAGACATTTTTGATGAAAAATGCATTTTACAAAGTGGCTGCTACAGAGCATCAAACCACATGTTATCAATCATGGAATATCCACTAAAATATGTAATTTAATCCATTTGTATTCTATTTTTTCACAAATACCTGAGAATTAAGTGGGTCACACCAGTGACTTCAACTAAAAGCCTTATATGAAATCATGAGCTGAATGAGAAAATCTCTGATAACTGAAAGACACAGTGGACTCACCATGTGCTTTTCTTCATAGATCCTCAGAAAACAGGTAACATGAAGTCGAGTGATGTCATCAGTGTGACTTTTATTTTAAGAGATTTTTTTTTTACACATTTTTTGACACAACCCTGGGTAGCTCAACTTTCATTATATGTTTTAGAATGTTTATTTATTTTCTTTAAGTCATTTAAATCATATGTTTCATAGTCATATACAGATTATTGCAGGTAAAATTGTAGAAAAATGTTTTTAAAAAATATGGCCTCACCCTTTACACATGTGAGGACAAGCACTTCTGTGGTGCTTGGAATTCTATATGATTGATTTAAAAACCAATATTGATAAATCGACGACTCAAGAAGGTGTAATTGTTTAAATAACTTATTGTTTTATTTTAAAATATAAACAAATTATAACCCTAACATGTTTTCAAGTGTAATACACTAGGAAAACAAAAATGGACGTTTCCATATCATGACCCATGTGTGTGTGTATATATATATATATGTATATATATATATATAGGTAAGGCAACAGGAGCTCGTATCTTCTTTAAATGTCAAAATGAAAAACATAACCATCTCGTCATCTGTTGTAAAATGTCTACTGACATCCTACAGAGGTGCAGCAGTATCTACAGTGAGATTCTTCTGGTTTGAAGACTGAAACCCCCTTCTGATGATGTACCTTGAAGGTGGGAGGAACCTTCGCAAAACTACAAAAGCTTTGCAGCGGATCCTCGACCCACTGTTTGAAATATGATTATTTTTTTGTTAGCTCTAGCAGGCTAACACAGAAGGAAGCCAGATAGCTAACATTACTGCTAGAAAGCCAACATCACGTATTTATTTGCTCCATCGGGGCTTCGCTGGCAGTCAGGATTTCTTTATCATATATATTTACTTTTGGGGGTTTATAACATTTGCCTAATGCTGGGTTTTGTAGTGCGAGAACATTGAAAAGGACACAAAATCATGAAATAAGAGAAACTCTTCTGCAGCTTTCGGCTGGTGCTGCATGTGTCCACGTTTCCGCGCAGCTTGGTATGAGCTGAATCAGTTGTATTTTAGATGAAAACGCGAGTTCTTGCTGATCAGCTGTATGGAGGGTTATTTTTCTTCATGCCCTTAGCGTGTTGTGAGCTGTGTGGGTTTTCGCTTCCTCTCTTTTTGTCTTTGAGCCCTCGCTGTGTTGATTAGTACTTCTGCCCTATTCATGAGAGCGCGCCACAGCCTGCATAATTTATAACCCAACCGCATAATCATAAAAGTTTCACAAGGTTGTAAGCACCCAAAATGAAGGATAACAGCGTACCATTAGGACTTCTGGGGCTGAAATAAATCATGGCTTCTAAACATAATCTTGGAGATGATCCTGGCCTGCAGAACGTGTAATCAGCCTGTTGATTGCGGGGCTTTTCTATTACATAGGGCAGCCAAACAGAGAAACGGCCGTAATGATGGCTGTCTGCTGCTGCTTTGATGGATGTTTTCTTGTTTTTACTTCAGTGAGATAATGTGTGTGTGTGTGCATGTACATGATGATTTATCTGTAATCTCTTTTGGGGAAACACAAATGAAATGTTTAGATGGCTTAAATATGCTGGATTTAGAGATGCGAGGATCCCACTTTTTCTTTTCCAGCACTGATACTGATATCAGCTGATACTGAGCCGCATTTGTCTTTGTTCAAAATCTCTTAAGCTTTAAAATGAGCTTAAAATTAGACGTGTATCAATAGATGTTGTGCTCATATTAGGAGCACCAGCTATAAGCTAGATTTAAAACAAAAACGATTCCAAACCCGATACCCAGTTTTATTCTACGCACATTTTTTCCACTGAACATCACTGGATTCTTGGAACTATGAGGTCATTTAGCAGTCAAACTATTAATAATGCTACATATATGCTACAGTAAAGCTAACACTCCTATGCATTGGAAAAATGTTGCATGAAAGTAAGTCTACTATTAAACTCTCACCCTGTTATTCACTGAACAGCCATAACATTAAAACCATTTTTCTTTGTTTCTACGCTCATTGTCCATTTTATCAGCTCCACTTACCATATAGGAGCACTTTGTGGTTCTACAGGTACAGACTGTGGTCCATCTGTTTCTCTACGCATGTTATTACCCTGTTCTTCAGTGGTCAGGACCCCCCACAGGACCACCACAGAGCAGGCATTATTTGGGCAGTGAGTCATTCTCAGCACTGCAGTGACCCTGACATCACTGGGCAGGACTTTCTCCATAAACAGTATCCATGTTGAGCTTTCCCATTCATATTTCAATCAGTGACCGGTCTCCTCCTTTTCAACATCTCTGGCCTGACAGATTAAGCCCAGCGTTCTGACTCGCGGCTACCACTTTGTATGTGACAGGTGACAGACTGGTCTACCTTTAGTCAATACTAACTGGAGCATTAGCGCCGTGCTGAAGTATTTAGGGCTGGCTTGTGCGAAACTAGCACATTTGGGCCTAGTGAATTGTTACAGTCCTACTGTTTGTAATGGAAGCACTTCTCTTAAGATGATCACTTTCTTTCTTTTTTCTTTCTTTCTTTCTTTAAGCTCTTCCTTTCCCTATTTTTTCATACATTCTTTCTTTTTCTCTCGCTCCTTTCTCTCTCCAAATCGCTTTCTTTCTTTCTTCCTTTTTTCTTTCTTTCTTTCTCTCTATATTAAGCCTTTTCCTTTCCTTATTTTTTCTATTGATTCCTTTCATTTTCTATCGCTTTTTCTTTCTTTCTTTCTTTCTTTCTTTCTTTCTACTCCTTATTTTTTCTATTGATTCCTTTAATTTTCTATCTTTCTTTCTTTCTTTCTTCCTTTCTTTCTTTCTTTCTTTCTTTCTTTCTACTGCTTGCATGCATTTCTTTCTTTCTTTCTTAATGTTAAGCCTTTTCCTTTCCGTATTTTATAATTAATTCTTTCTTTTTCTCTCGCTCCTTTGTCTCTCCAGATCTTCTTTCTTTCTTTCTTTCTTTCTTTCTTTCTTTCTTTCTTTCTTTCTCCATATCTGTTTTCTTTCTATTAAGCCTTTTCCATTCCTTATTTTTTCTATTGATTCCTTATTTTTTATCACTTTCTTTCTTTCTTTCTTTCTTTCTTTCTTTCTTTCTTTCTTTCTCCATATCTGTCTTTTTCTTACCCTGTTTTTTCGTTCATATCTGTGGTAGGTGACAGTGCTTTAGTTTGGTGCTAGCATGTTTGCTCACTCTTATACTTTCATTAAATACAGACTAGAGCATGAGCGCTGGGCTAATGTATTCAGGGCTGTTTTTAATGGAAATGGTACATTTCATTATTAAAGTCAAACTGATCAGGCAGTTATGATACTGAGTATTGGATCGGCGCCTCCTCCAGCTGTATTTCAGCTGACATTTCACCTCTTCTGATTTTTCCCCAATTTTGTTATTGTAATTAGTGTCCATGACTTCATCAGCAAGATCAGTCTTTTCACTGACGTCTCTCATAGAAACCTTTCTGGCTGGTAAGACATCATGCCATAATTGTAGAGCCCTAAAGTGACCTCAGGAGGAAAAAAGGCCCTCGAAATAAACCTGAATAGCAAACAGTCTCTCCTCTTATAGTCAGCTTGACCGTTTGGAACTGCGTCTAATTTAGCAACGTCCTTTTCATAATGAATCGCCGTCTCATCTGTGCCTTTTAACACTAAGTGCTTTTTTAAGGCTTTTAATTTTCTTCAGAAAAGACAAACCGACTTCTTTTCCAGCGAGATGAAGAGAGAGAGAGAGAGAGAGGCAGAGAGACCTAGGCGGCTGATTGATGTGGATAATTTAGTTGATAATTTTCTCCTTCTGCAGTTGTTTTCAGTCAAGATCAAAGTAATATGAAACGTGACTGTAATCTAATGGGTGTCGTCAGAAGTGCTGTGTGTTGAACTGAGAGAGGAGCTGATGTGATGGAGACGCGTTTACTGCACAGAATCCTGCTGAACAAACGTTCAGTTCTCATCACAGTTTACGATCTGTTCCTCCTTCTTTCCCTCCGCTTGTCATTTCTTTATCTTCATCCATTTGTCTCTGCATTGCTTTTGCTTCACCTTTTTTCATCCTGTTTCTTTTAGTTCTTTCTTTCTTTCTGTTGTCTCCTGACCTCATGCTTTCTCTCCTTTTTCTTCTTTATCCCTTCTTTCTTTTTCTTTCTTTCTCTTTCTTTCTTTCTTTCTTTATTCTTTCTCTTGCTTTCTTTTTCTTTCTTTCATTTTTTCCTTCTTTTCTTTACTTTTTCTTTCTTTTTTCTCTTTTCTTTCTTTCCTTTGTTCTTTTTTCTTCCTTTTTTCTTTTTCTTTCTTTCCTTTGTTCTTGCTTTCTTTCTCTTTTCTTTCTTTCTTTCTTTCTTTCTTTCTTTCTTTCTTTCTCTTTTCTTTCTTTCTTTCTTTCTTTCTGCCTTTCTTTCCACAATTCTTGTGTGTTTTTTGGTTGATCTCTTTCTGTTGTCTCCTGGCCTCTCATTTCCTCCCCTTTTTTTTTCTTGTTTATCTTTTCTTTCTTTTCCTCTTTCCTCATTTTCACTCTTCATATGTTCCTTAAGTCATATAACATCTTTTTTCATTGTTTCTTGCTTTTTCACTGTGTCTATCTATCTGTCTGTCTGTCTGTCTGTGTGTGTGTCTGTCTGTCTGTGTCTATCTGTCTGTCTTTCTATCTATTTGTCTACCTACCCACATACCCACCTACCTACTTGCATGTATATGGTGATGGTTTGTACTTTGTCATTTTAAAAGGAAGTGAAAAAAGAAATTAATATTTAGGATGAATTCATATTTAATTTCTGATTGTCAGTCTTACGGTATTTTTACAGTAGTATATAATATATTCTTTCTCTTCCTCTCTCTCTCTTTCTCTCTCTTTCTCTCTCTCTCTCTCTCTCTCTCTCTCTCTCTCTCTCTCTCTCTCTCTTTTCCTCTCTAGGTCCTGTCAGCAGTGTCCTGGTGAACCGGTTTGGCAGCAGGCCGGTGGTCATCACAGGAGGGATCATGTGTGGTGTTTCTATGGTGGCGGCTTCTTTTAGCAGCACCATCACTCATTTATATATCTGCGTGGGGATCGTTGGAGGTACTGGAACCTGCTACTTAAAGTGACAGTACTGGTGAAAAATCAAATGTGCTTAGTTTTCCTCCTCACCCAGGCTGTACTCGATCAGCCAGGACATGTTTGAAGTCTTCTGCTACTTGTAGTTTTGCACTGGAGCTACAAAGCTAATGTGGCTAAAAACTAATAGAAGCTGATGTTTGCCAGGTTAGCATTGTGCAAACTGCATTAATATAAATCAACACTCACTTGCTTACATTGTTTCTGATACTGTATGACATTCTGTTCTCTATATAACCGAGCAGTAGCAGCGGTCATTCTGAAGCTTGTCTGTACTTTTGTCCATTGTAATAGATGACAGTATGTCATACGGTGTCAGAAACCACATAACACCTGATCTTATTTTTACGTTGTAAGCTGGCATAAGAAGAGGATTAGATTTTGTCTGTTTAGACTTTTTAGAATCACTGGCTTTCTGGGTGTAAATTTCAAGCCACATGCCATCAGTTTTTTGTGGTGGTGTTCAGGTTTTAGCACAGTAATACTGAAATGCTGAGTAGCTCCCAGAAAAATGGAGCAGTGCTGGCAGTTGCAGCACATTGACAGCCTCGTGTACAGTGACCTTTAGGCAAACAGCGTGCTTAATGCCAAATGATAGGAATAAGTGGGCAAAAGTATTGGGACACACCTCTTAATCATTGAATTCAGGTGTTTCATTCGGTCTCATTGCCACAGCTGTGTAAAATCTAGCACCTAGCCATGCAGTCGGCCTTCACGAACATTTGTGAAAGAATGAGTCGTTCTAAAGAGCTCACTAAATTCGAGCGTGGTGCTGTAATAGGATGCCACCGTTGCAACAAGTCAGTCCGCAAAATTTCTTTCCTCTTAAGTATTCTACGATCAACTGTGAGTGGTATTATAGAAAAGTGGGATCGTTTAGGAACCACAGCAAATTGTCAGATTGCATTGGTTTCCATGGCCGAGCAGCTGCATGCAAGCCTTACGTCACCAAGCATAATGCCAGGCATCAGATGAGGTGTTGTAAAGCACATCACCACTGGACTCTGGAGCAGTGGAAACGTATTCAGTGGAGTGATGAATCACACTTCTCTATCTGGCAGTCTGATGGACGAGTCGGGGTTTGGCGAATGCCAACCTGCCTGACTGCACTGTGCCAACTGTAAAGTTTGGTGGAGGAGGGATAATGCTAGGGGGTTCTTTTTCAGGGGTTGTTCTAGACCCCTTAGTTCCAGTGAAGGGAAATCTTAATGCTTCGGCAGACCAAGACATTTTGGACAATTCTGTGCTTCCAATTTTTAGAGAACAGTTTGGAGAAGACCCTTTCCTGTTCCAGCATGACTGAGCACCAGTGCGCAAAGCAAGGTCCATAAAGGCCTGGCTGGGTGAGTTTGGTGTAGAAGAACTTGACTGGCCCTCACAGAGCCCTGACCTCAACACTGTCAAACACCTTTGGTATGAACTAGAATGGAGATTGTGAGCCAGGCCCTCTCGTCCAACATCAGTGTCTGAACTCCAGACCAACTCCTTATTAATGGCTATGGATTTAGAATGGGATGTCATAAAAGCTCGTCTAGGTGTCCCAATACTTTTGTCCACACAGTGTTGCTCGTAGCCTCATAGTCACAGTGCAGAACTAAAGAAGCAAACTTCAAGGAACAGAAACTCCAAGGAAGTAACTTACAAGATGAGCTTTGAAATGCTTTGTGGACAGACAGTCTTGTTCACTGAAACAGGTTCAAGAAAAAGCTGAGCTGAACCTGATATTATGACAGTTTCATGGCTCGATCTGTGCTAGATATTTGGCGGAAGGGATTGCTGATATTGAAGCACGTAGAACCCTCAAGGTTGAATAACCTCACAGCTGTGATGATCTACTGTACTTGCCTTCATCTTGTGTATGCGATTAATTCACACTCTTGATGTTTGTAATAAAACACTAATTTTCATTCTCGTTCTGTTGCTTAAATATCACAGAGCTCTTCATTAGGACTTTGTTCACTTCACTGCTGGGTGTTGTGTGAGACCGCAGTCTCTGGGGGTCTGTTTTTGTTTTGGGGGGGGTGCAGAGTTTCTCTTGTTTATTGTTCTTCCGTCCTGATTGTCTGAGAGAGCGGTTAGAGATTCACTCCCGAGTCAGACAGCAGGGAAAAGCATTGCTCTCTCCGGACCAGTCGCTCTTTCTCTGTTAGTTGCTTCTACCAGTTCAATCTGTGTCTCTCTGTATCTCTCTGTGTCTCTACCTCTATCTGTATCTCTGTCTCTCTTTATTTCTGTCTCTCTTTCTCTCTGTATCTCTCTGTGTCTCTATCTCTCTCTATCTCTCTCTCTCTGTGTCTTTGTGTCACTGTCTCTGTCTCTCTGTTTCTGTCTCTCTCTATCTCCGTGTCTCTCTGTATCTGTCTCTGTGTCTCTCTGTGTCTCTCTCTGTATCCCTGTGTCTCTCTCTGTCTGTCTGTCTGTATCTCTGTGTCTCTCTGTCTAACTGTCTCTCCACCATATTTTTCTTTCTTTCTTTCTTTCTTTTTCTTTTGCCTTCTTTTCTCTCAATCTTGCTGTTGCCTTCTAGCCTTAGTCCTTCTTGATTCTTTCTTTCTTTCTTTCTTTCTTTCTTTCCATATTAATTGTACTTTTCTTCAAATTCTTAAATATTCAGTCTTTTTCTGTTTTCTCTTTCTCACCTTCTCACCTCTCTCTCTCTCTCTCTCTCTCTCTCTCTCTCTCTCTCTCTCTCTCTCTCTCTCTCTGTGGGTGTAATTAAGCCTGTGCTATGTGTATTCCTCTAAGGCTGGTTTGTAAGGGCCCAGTTTGGTCACCCAGAGAGAGAAACACCCACTGAGCCTCATTACCCGCCGCCACTCTGCCGTAGAGGATTAATGTGTGGACGGATTGGGCACGGAGGTCCTTCTGAGACCTGCGGCGGTCCTCTTGTTTTCTCTTCCAGATCACTTAGTGCCAATGAGGGGGAATATTTCCAGCAAAGGGTCCACCTGTGGTCTGAGCTCACAGCGGATCTGCGCATGAAATTTCATCACATTAAAACTCTTTAGGTCTGACTGTGATAACTCAGTGAGTTTGGCTGTGTATTAGTACAGGTTTTGGTCGAAAGCAGCTCTAAATGCATCTCAGCGCTGGAGAATTTCGACAAATCCAACTCTCTCATCCATCACTTTGACAGACGGACATAAAAAACAGACATTTTGGTTTTAAAGGACGACCTCCTCTCTCTCTGCCTCTGCCTTCTCTTTCACTGCTTAAAACTCCAGACAGGAATAACCGTAACAGTCTTGGACCTTTCAGAATGAGCTCTTAGTTTACAAACACTGGTCATTATGAAATTATTAAAGGGTTGAAGGGGCATTCTGGTCCAAATTTAGTTTTCCCCACAAGCAAGCAAATGCAGAGGGAAGCCACACACCTTATGTTACTGCTAAGAAGTTTAATATCATGTTTATTAGCCTATTAGTCTGTTATTAGCCTAGTTTATTGACTTTACTAGCAGCCGGATTTTCTTTATCTCCTCCGTGGGGAGGGATTCCCAGTGGTTGTGATGCATTTGCATAATGTGGTAGGGAGAGAATGTTGGTAGACATATGAAATCATAAATTCTGTCAAACTAATTAGGCTGAAGAATTAACTATATTCACCTCATCAACTCAAATCATCTTATTTTTCAACTTCTACAAGCCTTTTTCAGTCCTCTCAATCTCCACAGTACAGGTTATGAAAAGGGTGCCCTCTGTCAGAGCTGAATGCTTAAGCCTTACTTTTTTCTTGTAGAATATTATGGTAATGGTGGTTAATGAATTTGTTCATTTACAGTTATGGTTAAACCCCAAAACTCTAGAGAAGTAAAGTGGTTACCTTTTTTGCCCTTCACAGATAACCGAAGGGAGCTGGACTGTTCTAGACCATTATGGCCCAATTTTAGTCCTGGCTCTATGCTTCAGTTGTCAGACAGAAGCTGTCCAAGACATGCTCCCATGTAGAAGTGGGCGATATGGCAAAAATACAATATCACAATTCTTGAAAATGTTTTCACCCAGAACCTAATCCTAACCCCTAATTCTGGCCCTAACACTGACCCAAACCTAATCTTAACCCAAAAAATCCTAACCCTCACCCTGGCCCTATTCCTAATCCTGACCTTAATTTCAACCCAAAACCTAATCCTAACCCTCACCCTGGCCCTAATTCTAACGCTGACCTTAACCTCAACCCAGAACCTAATCCTAACCCTCACCCAGGCCCTAATCCTAACCCTGACCTTAATTTCAACCCAAAAGCTAATCCTAACCCTAACCTTGGCCCTAATCCTAACTCTGACCTTAACCTCAACCCAGAACCTAATCCTAACCCTCATTCTGGCCCTAATCCTAATCCTAACCTTAATCTCAACCCAAAAGCTAATCCTAACCCTCACCCTGGCCCTAATCCTAACTCTAACCAAACCCTAATCCAGTTGTTGTTGATGGAAAGCCTTGGTTACACCAGTAATGCTATCACCATGGCAACGTTTACATGCCTGCATACTGCCGTCGATCGAGTACTGTTGCTAATTATTCCAGTTCTGCCGTGAGGCGTGAAACAATGCTTATTATTTTTAATATGGACATGTAAATGCAGCGGCGCAGATGCTTCACCAGTTGGTCCCTCAGGAAAGAAAGGAATCCTATCCAGTAGCTAGGAAGGAAACAGCTTGATCACCCATGGAGAATACATAGCACAACTGAGACTCGTAGTCCTAACTACGGTGTTGGGTCATCATTTGACCAAGAAGGTTTTGCATCAGTTAATGGTACCAAAGCCTGTTTTTCAAATCAGTTTCTTTCAGAAGCTTCAGCCAAACTTCTGAACTACCTCATCTTGTTTTGCACAGATGTAATTAGTCTGTGTGCATTAAATCATAATCGGTAACCCACATAATACCTCTAGACAACTCTGGGCGTATAGCACCATTTATTTTTAAGCATTAATGCACTACTCAGTTAGAATGCAAATAGAAAAGTTTGACTGAAATGGATCCTCATCAGCTTGCAAGGGCCTACAAAGAAATGCCTTCAGAAATTGAAATGAATTGGAGCCGGTAAAGGAGCCCGATCAGGGAAAGTTCAGGAAAGTTCTGAATGCTGGGAATATACCAGTTCTTTCCTCCACCTAGAGCTTTCCATCTAATGAATAAGATGCTCGTTTAGAGAATGAGACAGCATTAAATTGGATTTTTTTTTTCCTGGCAAAGAGGGTTGGTGGTGAATGAATTATCCCCAGCCTCTAATTTATTGCCATTTGAATTGCGGAATCATTTCAGAAATTATTTCAGGTTCCGCTAATGAGTTTTTAGTTGGCAATGTGAAATGAGATGGAACTCTAATGTGAACGGAGTAGGATTGGTCTTAATTTAATCACGGAGAGCGCCGCAGTCATAGATAGCCTGTACCGGCCCTGAAAATGGAACTCATTTCATTTCTCCCTTCTTCATTTTTCCGCAGGCCTCGGACTGTCCTTCAACCTCCAGCCGTCTCTGACGATAATTGGGAAGTACTTCCAGGTCAGGAGGCCCATCGCGAACGGCCTCGCCATGGCGGGAAGTCCAGTCTTCCTCTGCACTCTGGCGCCTCTGAACCAGTTCCTGTTCGATCGTTACGGCTGGAGGGGGGGGTTCTTCATCCTCGGGGCCATGCTGCTGAACTGCTGTGTGGCTGGATCGCTGATGAGGCCTTTACGTGATGGTAGGGTTGCTGCTAATCACAACTTTATTTGACATTAGGTTCTAGGTAGGCCTGTGCTACCTAGAACTGTAAAACTTACCGTTAGTTTAAAAAAACTATCCTTCATTATTGATTTATTTCATGCAAACCATAGCAAGACTCCCATATTTGAACTTAATTGAACGTTTAAACATGTCAGGTGATGTGATGTCCGACATGAATACCACGTTTATTGCACCAAACATATAGGAGATTGTTCTGGCTGTTGAGCTGCACTGGTTGAATGTGCTCAGTATGTTGCAGTAGGCAGATATGATGCCTATACAAAAAGCCACCTATGTTATGGTGCACATTTTAGCACATCCTCAAACCACAGCGTCGGGTTTCACACATCAGACAAAACAGCTTCAGGTCCCAGAAGAAAATCACCATTATGTCTCAGCTCTCATGCAATAAGACATCAAAAGAAATGGCCTCAGAGAAAAGGCATCAGGCTAAGCAGCTACAGACACAACATAACAGCTTTGGATGCTAAACTTCTTGTGACTTCCATGTGAAGTTCATGCAACATTGTCATTCACAATTCTGTTCATTCTTACTAGATTAATTACAGTTTTGTTGCCAAATCAAGTTGACCGTATACCACTATTTTCTGAACTACACTATTATGTTGTTTTTATTTATTCAGAGTAGTTTGGTGTGAAATGGTTCATTGTAGAGAAATTTACAGACACAGTGGTGGTGATAGGAACCAGGGGTTGCAATGCTTACAGCACAAAAATAGCCATTATATTTACCAACCAAACTTTGTGTATTGATAAAAAAATAGTGGTAAACCTGAAAAAACTTAATTTTCTTTAGATGCTATTTTCCCTAACAACGCCCTGAGTGTACCCCCACCATGAATAGATTAAAAAAATGTATGTTATAGGCCATAATTTTAAATCTTCTGTCTAAAAGCCATCGTAAAACCACCCATCACCACCACTGTGAGCAATTCTGACTTGGTAAGTTTCTCTAGAACGAAGCATTACACAGCAAACCACTCTGAATGACTTTGTTTGCATCTTAACCATTTAATTATACAAAGCTTTAACTCAATTCTGCGTTTGCTCCCAGTTATGCTATAATAGACTGTGGTGGTTTTCTACATATCATTATGGCTTACAGGGCTTGAAACCACATAAGCAAGTCTGTTTGAGATTTCTTAACAACTTGTTGCACTTTCAGGCAAGTATTTGGTGATGATGTCATAAACTGGGCACAATGTTAATTTGAAGTATAAGCTTCCATTACTTCCATTACTTGTTATCTACATTAGCTTTGAAGCTTCAGTGTAAGACTAACCTCAGACACCAAACATGGTCACTCTTAAGTTTCAGTAACTTCGATTTTTTCTCTTTCAACTTTGTCGTTTTCATTCCCAGTAATAGGGGGCGCTTCAGCAGGCAAACTGCAGGCTAACGGAGCTGGGAAGCTGAACGGAGCCCCCAGTGGAAATGGAGTTGACGGCCAAGCTGCTGACCAGACTCCCCAGCACAAGAAGGGCTGCATGAACTGCATTAGCTGCTGCTTGAACTTGTCTCTCTTCCGGCACCGAGGCTTCATCATTTACCTAATAGGAAACATGCTGATGTTTTTCGGCTTCTTCTCCCCAATGATCTTCCTGGCGCCGTATGCCAAGCACCGCGGCGTGGACGAATATTCGGCCGCCAGCCTGCTTTCGGCCCTGGCGCTCGTGGACATGATTGCCCGGCCTGGGACTGGCCTGCTGGCCAACACCAGGTGGGTCCGGCCCAGGGTCCAGTACCTCTTCAGCTTCGCCATCACCTACAACGGCGTGTGCCATCTGCTGTGCCCGCTGGTGTCTGGGTACTGGGGGCTGGTGGCGTATGCGGTCTGCTACGGCCTGGTGTACGGCATGGTTTGTGCCCTGCTCTTCGAGTGCCTTATGGATCTAGTCGGACCCCGCATGTTCTCCAGCGCCGTGGGACTGGTCACCATCCTCGAGTGCTGCCCGGTTCTGCTAGGACCGCCCATTGCAGGTAAGAGTAACACCCCAGTAACTACAGTAGCTTTCAGTAACCACCTTACTCAGCTTAGTCTACTATAGTTGTCAGATGCTCTGTGTACATGTGGGCAGACCATCTGAGACTGAGACTAATGGGAACTAAATAAAACCAGTTTAATGGAGATCCCTGTGGACACCGTGGAGTAGAAATTCAGTGTGAATTTAGAAATTTCAAATTCTATTTCGTTGCAGTTCTGTTCTTTTATATGGGAAACTGGGGTGTCGTTCACCTTAACACGTTATTTCCTCCATTTTACTTTTCCGGCATCCAGTGTTTGTTTTTTCCATACATATTAACCTCAAAGGGAAGCAGAAGAATATTTACTCATTTCTTTTTTCATTCGTTCTTTCTCTCTTTCCCTTCAAAGGTAAAGGTCAGTGTATTTTAAAACAGCAATAAAAATGACTTGCAAGGTAAACAGCCCATCCACATCTATCTCTTTCTCACTCTCTCTCTCCCTCCATCTCTTTTTTTCTTTATTTTCCCTGTCCTTCCATGTCTTTGCTCTTTCTGTTCTCTCTCTTTCCTTTTATTTCTTTCCTCTCTTCTCTCTCTCTCTCTCTCTCCCTCACTCTTCGTCTCTCTGTTCTCTATCTCCTCTCTCTCTTGCTCTCTCTGTGTCTCTGTCTTCCTTAATCTCTTTTCTCTTTTTTTACTCTCTCCCTCCATATCTTTGCTTTCTCTCTGTTCTTTCTCTCTCCTTCATTTCCTTCCTCTCTTCTTTCCCTCTCTATCTTTCTCTCTCTCTCTCCTCTCTGTTCTTTATCTAACTCCTTCTTTCTCTCTTTTTCCCTCTCCCTCCATCTCTTTACTCGTTCTCTCTCTCGCTCTCCCTCCCTCCCTCTCTTTCTCTCTCTCCCCTCCATCTCTTTTCCCTCCTTCTTCAGATCTTTTCTCTTTCTCTGTTCTTCCTCTCTCTCCCTTTCATTTCTTCCTTCTCTTCTTTCCCTCACTCTTTTTCCCCTCTCCCGCCATCTCTTTACTCTTTCTCTCTCTCTCTCCATCTCTCCATCTCTTTTCTCTCTCTGTCCCTCCTTTTCCAGATCTTTCATCTTTCTCTGTTCTTCCTCTCTCTCCCTTTCATTTCTTCCTTCTCTCCTTTCTCTCACTCTTTTCTTCTCTCTGTTCTCTCTTTCTCTTCCTTCTCCTTCCATCTCTTTGCTCTCTTTCTCTCTCCCTCTCTCTCCCTCTCTCTCTTTCCTCCTCTGCCCCCCCTCCCTGCCCCCCCTCCCTGCGTGACTAATGCGTGTACACAGAGTCAGGGTGGGAAGGCTTTCCAGGGTGTCATTATTGTACGACATTCCAGCAGAATTGGATTATGGGTGGTGAGGGAGCGGACCTGGGCTTGGTGAAAGTGGTGGGCGAGACTGCAATTGGTCACGCTTATTTGCTGCTGTAAATCGGGCGTAGCTGCTCGCCCGGCTGGCCGCGCGAGGATTCGTCTGCAAATTACTGAGTGTTTTTCCGGAGCTAAGTAGCTGTAAGCGTAATGAAGTCTCCTCGCGCTTCTCACTCTCTCTCAGCTCGCCCGGTCCCTCTCGGCCGGCGCTAAACTGCCGGGGCCGTCTGCGGCCTACTGTACTGCTGACTGTGCTGCTGCCACATCAGCAGTCTGTACAGTAATCTGTGTGCGTCCACACCTTAAAGAGATATAACTGACCCTTTAGACATTGTAAACACCGGAGTGGAGCTCCATCTGTAGGCCTCAAGGTCTATGTAATTGGAGAACGACGGCTGTCAAAAGTTTGGGAACACTTGGTTTTTCCAGAATAAGTCTAAATGTAGTGGCTCAGCCAAGGCATGTTTGGTTGCTTCTGTGGTCGTGCACTGGAGCTATGAGGCTAACATAGCTAACAAGCTTTGGAAGCTTATGTTCACCAGTTAGCATTGTTCAAACTGCAAAAATAGATTATCACATGCTTTGCCTCAAGTGTTGTAAATAGTATAAACAAAAAGTAGTTTCTGACACTGACATCCTTTTGTCTATACTAATGGACAAAAGTGCACTGATCAGGCATAACACTATAACCACCTCCTTGTTTCTACACTCATTGTCCATTTTATCAGCTCCACTTACTATATAGGTGCACTTTGTAGTTCTACAGTTACAGACTATAGTCCATCTGTTTCTCTGCATACTTTGTTAGCCCCCCTTTTACCGTGTTCCTCAGTGGTCAGGACCCCCATGGACCCTCACAGAGCAGGTACTGGGTGGTGGATCATTCTCAGCACTGCAGTAACACTGATGTGGTGGTGGCGTGTTGGTGTGTGTTGTGCTGGTCTGAGTGGATCAGACACAGCAGTGCTGCTGAAGTTTTTAAACACCTCAGTGTCACTGCTGGACTGAGAATAGTCCACCAACCAAAAATATCCAGCCAACAGTGTCCTGTGGGCAGCGTCCTGTGACCACTGATGAAGGACTAGAGGATGACCAACACAAACCGTGCAGCAGCAGATGAGCTATGGTCTCTGACTTTACATCTACAAGGTGAACTGACAAGGTAGGAGTGTCTAATAGAGTGGACAGTGAGTGGACACAGTGTTTAAAAACTCCAGCAGCACTGCTGTGTCTGATCCACTCAGACCAGCACAACACACACCAACACGCCACCACCACATCAGTGTTACTGCAGTGCTGAGAATGATCCACCACCCAAATAGTACCTGCTCTGTGAGGGTCCATGGGGGTCCTGACCACTGAAGAACAGGGTAAAAGGGGGCCAACAAAGTATGCAGAGAAACAGATGGACTACAGTCTGTAACTGTAGAACTACAAAGTGCACCTATGTAGTAAGTGGAGCTGATAAAATGGACAATGAGCGTAGAAACAGGGAGGTGATCATAATGTTATACCTGATCGGTGTAATTATATATATAGTTTTTTTTACTGTCTCTATTAATGCCTTGTGTTCAAAAAGAACAGAACATTATGTGCAAGGTCTGAATACTCATTTGTTTTTGTGTAATAGTGAGCAGTTTAAAGTTAAATTACTTCAAAAACTTTTGGTTCTCTTTTCCAGGCCTAATTAGAACACATCTGTTTTATGCTAACAAAACCTTTGCCAGTATATTTGCTTATTTAAATTTAACTTGAGAAGTTAGGGGGAAAATTAAACTTACTGCAAACAAAACCGGAAAATTTCAAAGATATTTTCGAACTTTCGGGGCAGTTTAAATGAACAGTGTTTCTTTATGTAGTAGTTCTGTCCTCCACGTTAGTCGTTCGCTGACTGTAGACTTTGCTACTTGACGGTTTCTTTACTGAGGGCTGATGTTTCTCAGAGTCCCTCGTGAGAAACATCCCAGTATAAAACCCTCAGAGGTAAAAAAGCAGATATGAAAGCTGAGCTGAAGGTGATCCTGGTTCCCCTTGTCTCTCATACACTGTGTGTGTGTGTTTGTGTGGTTTTTCATCTCCTTTGAGGTGCTATGTAATTAAACGTGTTTCCTCCATCGCTAGAAAGCGCCTCACCTTCTGAAGAGTCCCATCTTTTTCACCGCACTTTCATTTTGTTTTGATTTTCTGGATGTAAACATGGAGGAGAAGAGAACACACGCACATACAGAGTGGGTTTTGTCAAAGCCATTGAAGAAGCCCTTCACCAAGCAAAACAAACAGGAGCGCTTTATAGATTGCAGCTCACTGAAAGCGGAGAGATTTCATGTTGGTCCTAGTTTAGACTCACATAGAGAGGTGCTGTGTCTCAAGGGCGGAGCAGAAATGTTGTCCGCTGCACTTTAGAACTACTTTCTGTGCTATTATTATCGTTATTAAATGATTTAAAGTAAAACACATATCAAACGTTTCCTCTTTCGCTAGAAAACATCTCACCTTTAAAGTAAATCACTTATTATAGTAGAAAGTTTCCTGAAGAAACTTTAGAGTGATTGCGCACAAGCAGTTGCTAGACGGTTGCTAGGGTGATGCCAAATGGTTACTATGGTATGTTAAGTGGTTGCAAGTGGTTGCATTGCATTGTTGTATCCCAGGTGGTTGCTAGGTGGTTGCTCTAGTATCCCTGATGGTTCCTAGGGGTTGCTTCATTGTTTCTATGTTGGCCCACATGGTTAACGGGTTGTTGCTAATGGACTTATATCATCCTGATATAAGCTGGGTGGACAAACTTTTGCACCCCATTCATTCCTATGGAGAAAAAATTGTCATTTAACAATGAATTTTCGAAAGCCATTCCCAATCAGACCGAACATTCCAGAGTTGGAACAGTGTCAATATCTCGAAAACTGTGCTGTCACTAATAATATATTACTGAGTAAATCAACATCTTTTGCTAATCAACTACCTCTCGTTTTAAAAGCTGCGAAAACATGCATCCATGAGCTCCTGCTGGTGTGGGTTCATGGCTGTTTCTTCTATTTAAAGGATGCACACCAAAGCTACCTGTGTGCTAATAGCATCCCCTTGTGGAAGAACTTCGAACTACTATGTGCACATGAATGAGTTCAGTGAGTTCCCAAGCCACATCTTTGTGCTTTTAAACAAACAAACAAACAAACAAACAAGTTTTTTTTCCAGTGTTACAGCAGATGCACTCTGGAATTCAGCTAGAGATGCCTTTGAGAAACCATGAAGTATTATATTTACAGAATTTTACAACTCAACTGACCACCTGGGACAAAAATGCTTTGCTGTACAGGAGCCTAATGGCTTATTAGTGCCATTACATATACATATTATTTAATATTATTTAGCAAGCTGTTTAAAGTTAAATTACTTTAAAACTATTCTCTTTCCCAGCAAGGGAATTACTGCATTTGAAGCGCCGTGATTGGGTTGCTAGTCAATCACTGTACTGTATAGCTTAACAGATCCTCTCTTTATTTATTTGATTTCCAGTCAAAATGGCTGTTAAGTACAAGTTATTTATTTTTCAGCACTAGGAAAATCATATATTTAAAAAAAAAATACAAAAGCCTTAGCAGCTAAATATAATATCAAGTGTTTCAGTATTCAGTGTGTCCACCTTTACCTTTATTGCAGCTTCCATTCATTTTAGACTTGCTTTCAGTTTTTCACACAAATCTGCAGGGATATTTTTTCCACACTTCCAAAGTTCAGTCTTAGAGGTTGGTTGCATTTTCTGCCTCTCACGATCCAAGTAATCTTAAACACAGTCAGTGAGGTTGAGGTCTGGACTCTGGGGTGGTCGGTCCATTGTTCAGCTTCTTTGTTTGATGTGTCCGTCTCCTTTTCTCAGTGAGGTTCTTCGTGACAGCTACACATCCTTTCAGACCCACAGTGCTGAGTCGTCTTCTCACAGTGGAAGGATGGACAGAAACACCTGTGGATGTTTTCAGATCTGAAGCAGCTTGATTTTCTCCTCTCTCTCAGTGATGGAAGCTTTAAGTGCTGTTTATCTGATGGGGGCAGTTTTGGTGTCTACCAGGTTTTCCAGGTGGTTGTTAGGAGCTGCATTTTCTCTAATCTTTTAGACTTTTTGAACTCTAGTTGTGGAAACTCATGTTTTTCCACTTATATTTCTTTCAGTTTTGCTTATGCAAGTAGACTTAAATGCAAATATCTTAAATCTAATCTTAAAAGATGTGCAGAAAATGAATAACTAATACTTATTGGCTGTTTATCTGATGGGGACAGTTTTGGTGTCTACCAGCTCTTCCAGGTGGTTGTTAGGAGTCCCATTTTCTCTGTTTTTCCCATTGACTTTCTCCTTCCTTATGCAAGTGGATTATCGTTAGAAATATCTGAAGAATTAATTAGTAACTTGCCGTTTTGATTGGAAATTAAATCTGTATTGGCCCAAAATTTTGTATGCACATTTAAAGTTACTCTGTTAAGCTAGATCAGATATTTTTTTTATGTAATTGAGGTTTAAGGGATAAACATCTGGTTGATAGGGCAGCTGAACGTCCTCTGGCTTCAGTTATTTCAGCGATTTTACAGCTGAAGTTACTGTAAGTGAAATATTTAAGGCATTCTAATTTAGTCAAATAAAGCTATGGAACCATATGGGCCAAAGTGAGACAATGTACGTAAGAAATAAGCCACGCCTCTATTAGTACGGTCTGAAATTAGAACCAGAAGCCAGGAATCCCATTGGAGTCCCATTTTTTCATAAGTACTGCAGCCAGATGGACAGATGGACGCTCACTTAGATGTTTTTTTTTTTTTATGAGGGCAGCTAGTTTTGACATGCAGTAGCAGGAGACTTTGCTTTACTCCTTGGCTTGATCTATTATTTATCTGAAAACGGTGTCAAATTGCCTGAACACAGAAAGGTAGGCCATGTTGTAGCAGGCCTTTAATGAGCATGCATTGTTCTGGACACCTGTTCAGTGCTCTGAATTGGATCTCTGTCTTGGCCAGTTTTGATTTACTTTTGGCCGGCTTCGTTACGGAGGACCTGGCAACTCTGTCCTTTTTTTTTAATGAGGTGGAAATATGTGGGCTTTATTGGACCCTGGTACCGAGGCGTGTGTTTAATAGAGTAAATAAGCACCTACCTACTCACTCTCTCACACACATACACTTGTTTTTATACCTTGTCAGGACATGGGATCATACATACCCATATGTTTATGAGGCCTGTGTCCCATAACACGTCTCCTGTATTGTATTGTGTGTGTAAGTGCTTATAAGTAATAATATGTCCCATATGTATTGTGTGTATGAATGTATATGTAATAATAATGCACCATGTGTATTATATATAGAGTTGGTCAAATGTTTTGTTGATTTTTTTTTTTTTAAAGTTAAATTTAAATTTAAAACAAATTCTAATGCTGTTTTAATGCTCATTTACTATTTATTTGCTGAATTTAACATATTGGAAAAATAAAATATAAATTGTGGCCTGGGCAAAAGTTATGGCACAATTTATATTTTTCCCCCAGTGTGTTAAACTCAGGTATTAATAAGAAAATGTGCTCTGAAATAATGCCATACTTAAGTATGTTCTCTATAGAGGACATGTTAATTTAACAGCAAAACATCCTCAATCTTTTGCATACGACTGTACCTATATGTAACATTATGTCCCATATGTATTGCATATATGTGAATATAATAAGAATGGCCTAAGCCTAACTCTAAACCTAACCCTAAACATCTCCTCAAAAAGCAAAAAATAAATGTTGTAACCATTTTAATTTGTAAAAAATGAAAACAGATTTTTTGTAAAAAGCACTTTACAAAAGTCAGGATCATTTTTGGTGCTGATATTGTCTGTTATTCGCTGTTTTTTTCCTACAAATGCATGAAAACAAACACTCTCTCTCACACACACACTCAGCACTCTTCTCCAGTGGGCCAAAACCATTACGTCCCCCCAGTACCGAATCTCCTTGTTACGCAGCCTTTCCACGCCACTCCCCGAGAACCTCTGGGTCAGCCTAATGAGGAAGAAGAGAGGAAATGGCAGTAATTAGCCTTTTGCTTTCCTGGTTTTTAATGAATCTCGGTTCATCCCCCTCTCTCATTAGAAGCCCTTACCTGTGTGATAATTAAGCAATAAATACATGCGAGGGGAAGAGAACAAGAGAAAAAAAAAAATAGGTGACTTCAACAGATGGAGCGTAATTACTGCATCGCCAATCAAGAGCCAGCCATAACGAGGATGCTGGGCATCAGCACACGCCCTGAAACAACGCAACGCCGCCATCAATCAAAAACGCCGGCGCTATTTGGTGTGGCCGAGACCGGAGGGCAGTGCAACACTCCCCCATTATCATCTTCACACCAGCAGGACTCATTAGGAGCAGGGTTTTAATTGGTGTAGCTGCCCCGAAAACTGCCCTTCGGCCCCGCAGCACCACTTGTTGAGCGGGAAACACTTTCTTCCAGTCTGTCGGAGCAAAGGAGCAAATTTCTCATGCGGGAAATTTCCGAGCTTCCAAGTTTTCACTTTTTTGTCACGCGCTGTAAGATGTGTCCCATTGCTACTACGACAAAAAAGCTGGAGGTGGTTTTGTTAGATTTTGAGCGACGGCGTTTTAGGGCCACTGTTAATAAAAATAAAAATAGTAGACTTCGAGAATAAAGTAAAATTTTGAGATAAAAAGTCATAATATTTTGAGAAAAATGTCGTATGATATTTCGAGAATAAACTCGTAGTATTTCGAGAGAAAAAGTTGTATTTTTTAGAATAAAGCCGTGATATTTTGAGAATAAAGTCATACTATTTCAATAATAATATCGTAGAATTATAACATTAAAGTGGGATATTACGAGGAAAGGTCACAATATTGTGGCCAAAGAGTTTGCAGAAGGAAGGCAGGACCTCCTCGTGTTAAAAGGGGGGGGCGTGAGTTGGTGGAGTTTCATATTGATTTCACCCATAAAGAAATACTCAGTCTCCCTGTCTCTCCTGCACATCAGCACCAGCCTGTTATTAGTATAAGAAACAGCTGAGCAGGAAACTATTTAGAGTAAAGAGCCAGACAGACTCGGAAGAAACTGGATGTTTTGTTGAAGGAGAATCGCAGGACGTTTTTTTTTTTTGTTACATAATTAAAAACAGTTCAATAATATCATTCTTTCAGTGTTTATTAGCTAGCTAGCTAACATGGATGGGACTATAAGTAACCTTATCTTAACCCTTTTATTTTGAAGGAACAGTTTGTAGTAGCTGGCTGAGGAAGTAACTAACTCTAACCCAGACCTTAACTTTTTGAGCTAACATTAAGGTAAGCTAGCTCACCAACACTTTAGCTAGAGGGCTAGTTGGCTAACCTTAATAAAAACCAAATTTACAGAATTTTTCCCTTAACATCAATATAGTTGATCAGCCACCCCTGCTGAAAAACAACACCTTAGACCAGGCATGAATTCCATACTTGTCTAAGTTGGTTTATGCTGGTGTGGTGCTGCTTTAGCTGGACACCCATCATGGTCATGCTGGTTGACTAGCATACCAGCATTTAAAGTACAACACATTCTGGTTTTGCCACATATGTGCTGGTCTAAAGTGATGTCTGAAGTTTTCTTCTTCATTCTGGCACTAAAACTACAAGGCTAGACTAACAAGTAATGGTTATATCCATTAATTAGCACTGTGCTAACACCATCCCTAAATTATGGCACACTTACCTCAGACTGTGTTGAGCTGTAATCTCAAATAGATTTGATTATATGGTTTCTGCTGTATGACTTACTATTATCTCTAAAATATTGGCAAAAATATATTTCATAGCTAAAAAACAGTAGCAGCAGCCATACTGAGGCCTGAATGTTGTTCATTTTTACTCAACACGATTTCAAACACGCAGTTAGCACGATGCTTATTGATGAGGTCACCTTCTATTACTTGTTAGCTACATTAGCCTTGTGGCTCCAGCAACAAATTGGCCAACTGTATTTGGAAAAGTTGAAAACTGTTCAGAACTTTTTTCCAAACTTTACTGATTTGAATTCTTACTTTGTGTTCTTTCTCTGCAGGTGCGCTGGTGGACATGTTCGGAGACTACAGCTACATGTTCTACATGTGTGGAGCCGTGATGCTGACCGCTGGCCTGTTCCTCTTCACCATGAACTACTTTAACTACAGACGGCTGGACCGGGCCAAGCGTGCCCAGGAGAAGAGCGCCGAACTGGAGGAAAGGAGAGGACAGTGTGAGGTCCAACAGAGTGACCGTGTAGTGGAAGAGCACAATCAGAACCAGGCAGAAGACAACGGGGCACCTCAGGCCAAAACAGAGACCGAAGACAGTCCAGTGTAAAATAAGTTATTTAATGTAATTGAAATATATTTTATAAGTAAGAGCATCCTGTGACTCTAAAAATATCAGCCACTATTTTGGCAGCTGCCTTTTTTGCCCGTTTAGAGTCTGATGAATACATCAGTGCGCCCCCTAGCCTTTTGGAGCTGCAGACATAGGGATAAAACTGAAAAAGGGGTTCTTTAGTAAAGGCGATGGCCATATTAGAACTATTAAAATCAAAAGAGCCGTTTAAATGCTTAAATGGTTCTTTGCATGGTCAAATGGTTCTTCTCTATGATGGAGGACTTGTATGTGGTTATTTTAATTAAATGGTTCTATATAGCAACTAAAAGGGTAGCGCTTTAGGTCATAGAACTGTTTTTGGTACTGTATAGAACCTTTTTTGCTAAGAATGTATTACTAGCAAGCATACGGCTCCATTTCTGGTGCTATATGGAACAATTTTTAAAAGGCTCTTTAATAATAATAATAATAATAATAATAATAATAATAATAATAATAATAATAGATTAAATACTAACTTATTTGATTGAATAATAATTTCCTGGATCGCAAAGAACCATAAAATTCTTCTAATGGTTCTTTGAGTCGTCATGGTTCCATATATAACCAGTGCCTTTACTAAAGAACCCTCGAGGAACCCCTTTTTTAAATGGTGTATAAATGGACTAGCAGAAATAGTCAGATATTACTTGAAATGAAGTGTTGTTACAGTAGCGTATTTTAACGTTAAGTTTTTTTTAATAAAGTAACTATTTCAAAACATTTTTGGTTTTATTACAGAGTGACGAAATGTTACACTAAGCCAGGGGTGCCCAGTCCTGCTCCTGGAGATCTACCACCCTGGACAGTTCAGATCCAGCACACCTGACTCTATTATTCAGATGCCCCTGAAGGCCTTCATTACATGGATCAGGTGTGATTGACTGGGGTTGGAGCAAAACTCTGCAGGGTGGTAGATCTCCAGGATTGGACCAGGATTGAGCACCCCGGCACTAAGCTAAGCAGCTTCCAAATGATCAGTGAACTGAGCGCACAAAAAAAGAAATATCCGCGTGTTAATGTTGTAGCGAAAAGGGCTTAATTGGCCTAAATGTCACTTTAAATACTACCTGTAACATTCAGCGTGTCCTCGAGGCTCCAGTGATGGTGCAGTCAGTTGTTACTGGTTCTTAGATATGCTGCAGTATTTGGCCTCTTTTTGTACAATGTGGGAATATTTTCATTAAGCTGATTTCATAAAATGACAACGGCCCTTATTCATCAGTTGCAAACAGTCAAATCTGATCTTAAGACGAGGGCAAGTTCATCTTTCTGTTTCTGCACAATCAAACTTGTGTCTGGTTGGACTGAATTAAATTTGAGCGTAAACGTTTAAGGGCCTGAAAACATGCTTGATTTGTGGTTAACTAACCAGAGCTATTAACAGTATCAGCAATCACAGCGTTTCTCAACCTGTGGGCCGTAAAGCACCCTCTAGTGGTCAGCGGGCCTGTACTCAGGGGGAGGCAGTAGTTCGTAATGGGCAGGTAATGTCATTTTGTAACAAAACACGTAAGAGGGAAAAAGACTAACTAAATCAAGGAAGCATTTTCAAATTATAAGCAATATAAATAGTATAAGTAATAAATGATATTAATGGAGATGTTGCAGAGTAATAGGTGAATTAAACACCAAAATTCATGATCTGATCTTTTTCAGTCCCTGATTCCAACTTCACAACCTAAGACAATCTGTTTATTTCACATTTCATTCTTTGTAGTCGTCATAACTTTAACACTACACAGTGTGGTCAGTAGGGGGCACAGTGCGCTCAACCTCAAACCCCACCTACGACAACAAGCATTGGCTTGAGAGATGCTAAATGCTGTCATTTCAATGACTCCATACAGAAACATCTGCAAGAATTAGGGTGTGCTTCATGTAAATGGTATGCAAATGAGGTGGGGTAGGTTGGCGCTTGATTTTATGCACTGAAGCTGATTCATCATTTGCACTCAAATCTCCACTTGTTTCCACGCCGTACAAAAGCTTCACGAATCAGACGCGGAGTAGTTTGTACGTCATTAAATGCGCCATTTTTTATGCAACTTTGATGAATAAGGGCCAGTGTGTTTTTGGGTGGCCTGATTTTTTTTTTAATGGTGCCACATTCACATTCAAAGCACTCTTTTATGCAACACTCCTCAGCAGAGCTTTATAAATCTGACGAGAAATCTGTGCTGTTTACAGAATTCATTTGCTGTATTTTACTGAATCCTTTGGCCTTTACTATAGTCAGTTGGTATTGATATCAGAAATTCTACTCTACCTCTAACATTTAAAAGGGGGTTACATTGATTTTTTTCCTTCACAATTCAGTAGTCGAGGTGTAAACAAAGTTATTCAGAATGGGTTGTTGTGATATAGTGCATTGTGGGAAAACTTAAGTCTGATTTCTTTACAGTGGTGGAGATAGGAACCAAATATATGCAAATACAGTCATTTTATTTACTGTCCAAAACGATGGTAAAGAGTTTTTGTATGTTTTTGTATGTAATGCTCATGATGATAAAACCAAGTTTCCTTAAGGGAATATTTTGCCCCATATCACTGGATGTACCTCTCTGCCATGACTGTGTTCATAAAATTATGTTTTAGTCCTAATTGCTTGTCACAAAACTATCATAAAACAATGTCTCAGGCAACACGTAATAACTTTCGGTGAAGTAGCTTTTGGAGACATCAAACGCTTCAGACGTGTGGTTCCTATCACCACCACTGTGGACAGTTCTGACTCACGAAGTACCTGTAGCCCAGGTGTCGGCAACCTAAATGTTAAGAAGAGCCCAACAAAAATCAAACCACCTTGGGAGCCACAACATTTTACCATCTTGTCTGTGTGTCTCAGTATGTGCTAATGTTCTAGTATAGGATAAAAATATATAATATAAATGACAACGCAGACTTACTTTGCTCTGCTTTAAGCTTTAGCTCAGCTATAGCCGCTTTTCTCACATCTCCAGCAGGAAACTTTTCTGCAAAAGTAAATGTTTTTTGTAAAAAAGCGTTCGACTCTTTACGAGGCTGAAGCTTCTCATTCGCCAGCTTCTTGTTTGAATTTTCCCGTTCTACCTTAAATGGTGCCTGAGGCGCCAGAATGCAACTGCTGCACTATTTAAGGTGGAACAGAACAATTTGAATGAAAAACTGACTTCAGCTTCACAACTTTGTGTTTGACAGTTTCTCGCTGCAGATTAAACGTATCAGGAAACCAGCTGAAGTGATTATAAATGCAAGTCCATTTGTCTTCAAATTATCGATGTTCGTCTTAAATCTTTCTCTTTGCCGTTTTGTTAGTTACTAGCTAGGCGAGATTGTTGTCTGTGTTGCTATGGTGACCAGCAGTCTTCACGCCGATCTTCAGGGTTAAAGGGTGAATTAGCAGTTCTACATTAACTCCAGCATTTAAGACCATTTATTGTTATACTGTGTTGAACGATCAGCTGAGCTTTATTTTACTGCAAAATAAAAATCTAATTCTGCTGTGGAGCCGCAACGGGGCAGTAAAAGAGCCACATGTTGCCGACCACTGCACTAGAAAAAAGCATTTCACATCAAACCACTCAATGATTTTGTTGACCTCTCAACCATTTATTTATGCAGACATTTTGAACGAGTCAAAGGAGTTCCCCTTTAAGATGGTCTTAGCGTTTAAGAGCAGTGGGGCTGTACTTTACTGTACTGTACTGTAAGTGTTTTGCACAATGTTAGTGATGTAAAGTTTATAGTCAGTTTATAATTAAATTAACAAATGGACTGTCTGCTAAAATACAGTCAACACAGAAGAATTCATGAAAGTGAATATGTGCACAGCAGTATATGCTTTGCATTAATGTTTACTAATGGAATTCAGCAACTGCCCATTGGATTCTATTATAAGTGAGTTTTAAGTCAGTGGTTTTTCTGTTCTTTTTTAAGTTCTGGGAAAGCTCAATATTGAAATTATTGTCTGTTGTAATCCACCATATGCTACAGATGCAGTAGATCAAGAATAGGTTGAAAAGTGCTGGAGTATTTCTTTAAAGGTATACATTATTCCAAAGCTTTTGTATTTAACACTGTATGAAATAAAATGTTTACAATAAAGAACTGTGTTTTAGTGGCCTGACAGGTACTCGTCTGATTTATGTTTTCAGCATTTCACACTGTGTACTAGATGTAAAACTTTTCAGTAAAGAGCTTAAAACCAGTAGCCCATTGCACCAGCTCTGCGTAGGTTCAAACATAGACTAGTTGTAACATAAGTGTTTACTAAGTTCAGGTTTGTGCATTATTAAATCCAAACAAGTTGCACCACACAAACTAGTTTTAACGTTGAGCTTAGTAGCTATTAAATCTCCACATCAGCAGGTGTAAGTTTTGGGGAAACCATCAGGAACCATGTAGGAAGCACAAAAAAGACTAAAAACATGACTTTTTTGGTTAACCAAGCTAATAATTTTAAACGCTATATGCTGAGATTTTACTTACAGCTAATCATCACCCTGGTTTAAACTCCGAGCATGAGGCTAAACACCCACAGCTCCAGCTCAGTGAGACTCAGCAGCACCACAAACGGCTATGCTGATCTGCTGTTGTGTCGGTTATACAGAAACCAGCATTTAAAAAGCTGCATATTTGGTTGTCTGATGGAAATATTACAGAATAAACAGACAGTGGCTGTAGATGGTTTTATTCAGTTTAACCTGTACACATTGTTCTCTTCTATGCTGGATATTTTCTCTATGAAGAAATCAGAGCAGCTGCCGTCGCATTTCCATGGCAGCGGGTTTACTGATTGGTTCTGAACATGTTACCGTCATGTTGAAGCGACATAAACATTGGTTCATTTTTACTATTAAAGACATGACTTACAGATTTGTGATGCAACCAAATTTAGTAAAAGGATGGTTTGAAACTAACTAGTGTAACTAAGGACTTAGTAAAGACTTTACAGACAAACTTAAGTATAAACT